TAGAGTTCCAAGATGGAAAGGTTTTCTCTGCATTCATACAAAGAATTCAGTCTTTTATGACTTTGGGGGAAAGGTGAGAGTTCTGTGATTTGTAGATACTTTTTCAGGTGAACAGGCAGCTAGCTATTTCAGAGGTCCAAAAGAGAACTGACTGCAGGATACAACATTTTTCCTCATGGATTTCAGCCAACATTTGAGTAGAGGACTCTCCCTCAAGGGTTTCATAGCAGCATCAAGCTCACTGTCCACTTCACAGCTTCTGTATCAAAGTGGGTGTTTCTTTAGAGCCTTCAGCTACTGATGGGAACAAGGTGTTTGATCCTATGAACATAGAAAATAAAACTGTCTAGACCTAGAGGTTGTACAACTGGAATAAACCAGATGAGTATTAACAGTTGGGTAGGACGGCTTGAGAAGAAAGGCTTTGTGTAGGGTAGGTCCACAGAGACCTTGTACTGGACGGTATCAACCAGTCCCTTTTTGGAATGGCAAAGATCAGACCTGTAGGGACTGTGGTGAAACCCTGCAACTGCGGTGGAGAGAAGTCTCCCAGACTAGATCTCTGCAAGAGTCAAGCCCCATGCTGTGGCTCAGGCCACAGGTGGCCTGGCTGTATCCACATACCTAGTCCCCCTTCACCCCAAAGCAACTGACCTTGTCCATACCCTCTTCTGGAACAGTTTCTCACGTGTACCCTTCCCAGAACAGAGACAGGGGACTGAAGAAATACTGGAAAAATAAAAAGTTGTTTTAAGTTACCTCTGTGCCAGAGGTACAGAGTGTACCTACCACCTGTCCTACTCAGAGGGCGAGGGAGGACAGGTGGGAAATGAGCGTGTGCTTTTGTAGCATGGCTGGGAATGTAGTCCACATATGAATGCAATTCTAAAATAGAAGTAACAATTAAAGCTGAAATTGTGTTAAACTACCACTTAATTTTTTAAATCTTGACTAAACTCTCAATTAAAAAATTGTAATTTTTCTCAAGGAATACTTTTCTCCTGTAAATCAATCTGAAGTATTCTTTTGTAAGAGAGAGAATCAAAACATGCGGAAAACCGAAATAGCCGTTGCACTGTTCCAGAGTAACTTTTATTTGCCACATGGTTTCAGGATGTGTTACATAGGCATGCTCTCTATTTAATTGTACGGATGGTCTGCTATGATGACGGTCTGGGAGCAGGAAAAAGTTTACTGGCTTTGAAGACAACAGATGCAGCCTCTGAAGAATGCAGCCTTTGGGTATATCAGTGCAATAGTTTGGTAAGAGTTTATGTTTACAGTATTTAATTTAGGTATCAGTATTTTGATTTTAAAGGGAGATTCTAAAACCCAAGGCCCTTGTGAAGGCTTTTTGGCAGAAGGGGGATTGCTCAATTAAAAATAAGAGTATAAATGTGCCCTGGTTGAGGAGGGGAGAAAAGCCCTGCTGACTGCATTTGATCAGCTTTCAGGAAAAATACCTACATTCCCTAAATTGCCAGTGAAAATTGGCCTGAGAAAGCTCTTTGCAATCTAAAGAGTGCTATGGTAGCTACTAAGGACAATCCTCCATTTGTATTTTCAAAGACAAAAACCTCTTAAGATCAGACAGAGCAGGGAGGGATTGAGCAACAATTCTGGTAATAGAGTGTGCATTCATATTTATAAGCAAGGGAAGTGATCTCCTCTTAAGAGTAGGAGAATTCATTGTCAAGATACTACAGTATGACACGTGGGGGAACACATGAACTGACTTTCTGAATGCTAGTGTCATGCTATGATGAAAGCTAACAACTCTGACTTGTTTCAAAAGAGCTCATTTAAAACAGCTTCCCACATGTCATTGCAGACCACAGAAATCAAATTCAATCTCACTTGTGCTACTCCATTTTGCATGTCTGCCAAAAGAATGATAAAGGTCACATTCTGCTTTAAATGAGTTTTGAGATGTTTAGAAGTTCTTCAGAAAGTGTTAGTGTGTGTGTTTGTTTTTTTGGGTTTTTTTAGGAACAAGCACAAGCAATTTGCAAAGTGTTATCTACAGCCTTTGATTCAGTTTTGATGTCAGAGAAGTCCTGATTTTCTTCAGCAGCTCGTGACTGTAGCACAAGTGGCCTTTGTCTGGGGAGGAAACGGGGGGTCCTTTGTGATACCACAGACTGGCTGCAGCTACACACAATCCTAGAAAAGACTTGCTGTGCAAAGAAGAGCCATGCAACCTTGCACACGGTACTTTGTCATTCCCAAACATGACTTGAAGAAATTATTCCATCTTCAGTTTCCAGGACAATACAGAATTTTATATTTAACATGATTTTTTTTTCCTAAATTGTGTTTTGTATCTTAATGTCAGTGTTGTGGCAATGTAAAATAAAACTGACACTTGCTTCTATCTCTTTGTCTGAAAAATAATTTGTTAATGTAGACTTCAGTTCTTAACATAGATACTAGACCAAAACAACAGGAGCAAAGTGATAATAAGTAGTCATTTGGTGCTTTACGCCTCTAATCTTAGGTGTGCCATCTACACCGTTTCTACATTAAAAAAATCCACAAGATGTACCATTTTTTGCTCAAGTGCTACTTGTTTGTATTTCTCGTTTTATACGTTGAAAAGAAGAATATCGCCAAAGCAATGCAGAGTAACAGAAGCGAAGTAGCTGAAGTGATTTTAAAAGTAGTTTTATTTTTCCAGACATTTGACTGGTTAACAAGAGTAAAATTTATTAATCATGCTCTAATTATAAATCACTGCATCCAGGACATTGAAAATAAGAGTTGATTTTAGGTTATACAATATATACAGTTGCTCTGCAACTAAACAAAATAAAAACAACTGAATTGAATATTATACATCTCATAGCATTCTAAGCTGCATTTTAAGTGTCACTTGCTCCTTTTTAAACAGTTAACACAGCAACCTAATAGTCTGTCTATTAACAGGTTTTTTTGAGTCATCATTTTAATCAGATTTGAAAAGTTGTATGAAATATGCCAAAATTTTGGACTTAAAATTCTTAATTTTATATTATAAATAGATATCTACAGGCTCTAGAATTTCTTCTTCCTCTGCCAGAGGAGCAAACTTTGAGAAACATTGAAAATCTAGGGATAAATTTTGCTTAGCTGCTCTTTATTGGTCCTCAAGATTTTATGTCTGCACGGTTAGTGCTAGCACATTGTATTCTACAAGTTTCCTAGTTTCTAAGTGACCAGTGAACAAGGTTGTGACATTTTAAAGTGTATTCCTCTTCTAGCAGAACTCAAGGAAAATTTGCATCATTCTTTAACTTTACGAGTTGTTACATACACTATAAGATTCTGTGTTAAAAATACTGTACATTAGGAGATCTGTGCAAAATAATATGCCCATTTACTCTCTAGACTCTATCAGGGATAGAAACATACAAAATAGTGTTGCAAACTGAATGTATCAGTAAGTGAATAAAACTAGTGCTAAACTATTCCTCTATCATTTTACTGGGAACTTTGAAAATACGGACTAATTTGCTTCAACTTGCAACAAAAATATCTTGAAACATTCCAGTTTGTTCCCCGTTTATACTGCAGCAACAGCATCTAGAAAATGAAAGTTAGGCATATGCTTGGCTGTGCCCGCATGTTCGAGAGGCTATCAACCAACTGTACCATTTAGGAGAGGCGGGACAACGTAGGATCAGTGTTGCTCTTCCAGCACTAATGCAATGTGTTTTTTCTCCAAAGAAGCGTACATGGTCGTGGCCTACTTTCCATTCCGTTCAATATGAGACGGCCGATTTAAACACCGTTTGTCAGAAATTCAAAGTTCTCTTGATAAATCTAGAGATATAATATTCACGAAACGTGATCAAAGCCAATGTGACCTAGACATTGATTTTTCTTACCCTATGCCATCAGTTGTTTCCTGTAGCATAAGCAAAAACCGGTACAATTTCACAATATACAAACATCAAAATGATGTCAGATTTGTACTGATGTTTTCTATTCCATCAACCAACTGGGAACCATCTGTGGCCTAGCCTTCCTTCACAAATTAGTAAATTTAACAACAGTGTAGCTACCATATATGGGGGTATATTATATAAATACAGAGTGAGTTAGCAAACTATTGTCATTTGCAAGGTAGTGGCACGCAAATTTTATAAACCAGAACGTAACGTAGTGTACTTGTGAGGTGTCGGATACCTTATTGACCAAGGATAATTAGGTAAGTGTTCCACCAAATATATTCTCCCTGCGAACACATTGCTGGATGATGTAAGAAAATTCAAGAATTTCAAATCAAAGTCTAAACACTATAATGAGACAAGTGTAAGAAATGCTCTGCAATCCATCATCATAGTTTAGGACATTTCAGGAAGTGCAGTTTTCATATCCTTGAGTTAATGTAGTAACTTCTTAATATTGCCATAGCATAGTTAACCAGCAGTAGTCACATTAAATGACCAAAATGGATGTAACGGACATAAAGAACATTCAAAAAACAGGTTCTACACACGTGCAGCATAGAAAAATGAAACAGTCTCAAGCTCACAAAAATAGAACTAGTAAGTTCAACGACTAACATAGATTTCAGATAACTTTAAGCAAATATCTACATCCAATCTGAAAGAAAGAAGTTTCTCCTGTGGTAAACCAAAATACTTTTTCACTTTTACCTGGCCAAAGACACCTGATTAAAGTAATTTCTTCCATAATAGTTGACATCCTGGATGACAGCCAGTATGGCAAGATGCTGAATGAGTCCAATTTAGAACTACACAGCAGCTTGCACGTTTTGGTTCCAACACTTCAAAAGGTATTGCGAATTGGATAAATTCACTGCCCTGTTAGATGCACACAATGTCTCTGACTGGGGAAGCAACACTGAACTGTGGTATTATGTTACAAAAGGGAAAAGAAAATTACAGTGAATTAATTGAAAAGAACATTCATCATGATGTGATGTTCACACACTTACATGGGCTTTGATTGTTAAAGCTTTTCAGTTCACCTTAAAAAATACGAGAAGAGTTGGGTTTTTTTAAAGTGTAAACTGCTCGTGAGAAGTTTTCACATAGAAAACAGTTTTCAAAGTCCCAACATCAGAATGATGGCAATAAAAAAGTAAGCTACAGTACCTAGGACTTGGGCAGTGCTCTGGCAAGGTGTCTGCAGATCGGTGGATGAAATGAAATAGAGCCAAACTTATTTCTGTGACTGCTGGAAATGAGAAATGTCTTCAGTTATCAGTAGCAATTTAGTCAACAATAAAGTGCACAAATGATACAGGGAAAGCTCCTTTCCGACTGGGATCTCCATCAATATGACCGATCTGAAAGAGGCCAGATATTTTTCACGTTAATCTCAAAAAGGCATTTCAGCATCACCAAAATGAGTATCAGTGACCTTCCTGTCTGTCGTACGATGAGCCTCTCCCTACATCTTTTCTGCAGTGGTGTTTTCTTTTGCAAATGGAAAACATTATCAGAAAATTCAGTCCAACAAGGTGCATGTTATTCAGCTGTAACTTTTTTTTTTTCCCAAATTCTGGTTAATGCAGTTCTTTGAAAGTAACACCTCTTAAGGCAGCACCACTGCTACGTCATTTCAGCGCACCCTGCAATGCCTGGCGGCCCATATTCTGCTTCCCCCTCTTAACAATCACTGAAAGGTAAAAGGATGGATCAAGCTTCAACAGTTTTGGGGTTTACATGAATCTATTTGTGTTTATACAGTACTGTTGTCAACGTAGACACAATTTGAAGTTCTATTATTCGCTAGCTAACAATCAAAGAGTAATGAGAGTGTTTTCATGCATAACAGTTTTTCAAGACTTTGCTTTAGCTGATGAGGCTCTGGAGTGTAAATACTTGAGATGGTTTCCCAGCTCACAGAACAAACCATTTCTCAATCATCTCAGTCAGCTGAAGAATTAGGACAATACAAAGCTGTCTTCTGAGGCCCACCACACAGCATCTTCAAGGAAGATGAAATAGCAACAGATTCCTAAACTGCTGACACCCCCCAAGAATTTCCTGACTCAAACAGACCAAGTCCCCTGTATATTGTGAACCCTATTAATAAGCTATTTTTTTTTAGTGTCAACTTCTAGATTTCATTTATTTCTTTCACAGTCTATTGATGGAAAATGCAAAATACTCACCCACCACTCCTGATCTTCTTCACCATCGACTACAATAATATCTCCCTCTGAAAAAGTTAGCTCATCTGGGTTATCTGCTACACAGTTGTAAATTGCTTTTACTCTCTTGGGTTTAGTTTTTGACTGAAATATAAAAATAAATAAATGTAAATAATACAGCATGGAATACAGAATAGAGCTGGAGCTGATCTAAAGAAACCTTCAGAACTGCTTCCAGCCATTACTTTTCATAGGTTAGAGTTCAGCTACATCTTTTATGCTGGGTGCTCATGCTCCAGGCTGAATTTGGCAGCATCCAAAGCCTTTCAGAACCACCACGCTGCCCATGTGGGCCAGGTTTCCCTTAGCAATCTTCTATGTGGGCTTATCCAAAAGTGTCTTCAGAGCTCTACATCACTGCAGCAAGTTATGACTTTATTCAGAAGATGGGGTGCTAACGATCAAGTGCTACGCAGCATGTGTAACAGCAGCACAGAAAGAGGCCTGAGCCACCTGCAAATACGTCCCTTATCTTAATTTGCTAAACCCATCTCGGCAGTGTACGAACCCGCTGAAATGTCCTCTGCCTCTCTGTAGTGGTTTGAGGATTGCAAGCCACAGGAGTGGTTTGTCAGCTCTTCCAACAGGAAAGTTTAGTGAGGAGTTGCAATATTCCTATATTGCAGTGGGCTCCAATCCTAGTTGTGTTCTAGCTGAAGTGATGGCGAAATTGTTTTGCTCTGGTATCACAGTATCCACCATCCTCATCTCACACCTCTCCCAGAGCAACCTGGCCTGCTGCTGCATTTGTTTTCAGCCTCCTCACTCTCTGCTGCAGACCAACAATAACCATAGAATTGTTTCGGTTGGAAAAGACCTTTAAGATCATCAAGTCCAACCATTAACCTAGCACTGCCAAGTCCAACCACTAAACCACATCCCAAAGCACTACATCTACACATCTTTTAAATACCTCCAGGGATGGTGACTCAACCACTTCCCTGGGCAGCCTGTTTCAATGCTTGACAACCCTTTCAATGAAGAAGTTTTTCCTAATATCCAATCTAAACCTCCCCTGGTGCCACTTGAGGTCATTTTCTCTTCTTCTATCACTTGTTACTTGGGAGAAGAGACCAGCACCCACCTCGCTACAACCTCCTTTCAGGTAGTTGTAGAATGCTACCTACATAGTGTTTCCATGCAAGGAGTGGAGAGGCACAGGTCCTGGAGGCAGAGCATAAGCTTTCTACCATGAAGCCACCCTTTTCCCCAGTTTGCCCAGCTATAACCAGCAAAAAAATCTCTCCTTTCTACCCTAAGATGCCAGAGCAGAGTTGTAAGTGACATTTAGGTCAAGAGACATCTGTTAATGTAGTGGGTGTTTGGGACAGAGGCTCTAGAGGGGATAAAGAAAAGGTCTTATCACCATCCTGGAGTCCCCCAGAGATTGGTCCCAGTCTCTAGTTAGGTCAGCCATGGAACAGGAAGCTTGTGAGGGCAGAAGAGACTCCATCCATAAGTCTACTTCTCTCCACCAGCAAAATGCTCTGCTGTGGACAGTAGTGCCCAACAGCCTATTAATGTGCCATTTTGTTAGAGGTGAGCGCCATGCAGAAAACAAGGGATGTGGATAGGGAAGAAGGGAGGTAGCCTCATCAGTATGCTCCTCTGCAAGCATCCATTTGCATTTTAGTATAAAAAACCTGACCTGCCCGGACAAGGCATACCCTTAGGCTCTGTGTGTGGGGCACACCCCCGTGAGTTGGCAGTCTTGCACTGCATCATAGCAATTTTGCCAGATGCTCCATCTCAAGTCAAGTTACAGTTCGAACCACAACCACCTTTTATGTCAAGAGGGAAAAACTTCACATCAGTACAACAGTGACATAATTACTAACTTCAAAGCACAGTAATTACAGGTATTTCTTGTTCTTTAGAAGGCAAATAAATTAAAATAGATCCCTTTCCCAGAAGACTAAAATCCTCTGGGAATGTTTCCCGTGCATCTACAATATGGTTTCAAAAATCTAAAATATACATTAAAAAAAAAAAAAAAGATGCATCAGGAATTTCCATCTGAAAAATAGGCTGTTGGGCAAATGCACTGTGTGGGAGATAAGCCACTGGCTTCATGTGCATGCACAAGTAGACCTCTTTTTTCTTTACTCAAGGACTACTTCTGCAATCATTTCCTACATCTGGGCTGGCCTCTGGATTCTCTGGCAGGGTAAAGACTTAGCAAAAAAGGCTGGAGTATAAGGCTAAATGGAGTGATTTAGCCAAAGTACTTTAGCTGGACTGATCTAGCTAAAGCTCTTTAGCTGAGGGGCCCTTGACTAAATCTCAGCTAAGATGCTTTAGCTAGACTGATTTAGCTAAAGCACCTTAGCTAGCACACACTCCCCAAGCCAGGTTTCCCTTACTTCTCTGTCCTATGACAAGAAAATCATCCAGCTGATTGTCTCAGTCTCACAAAATTCACCCTACTGAAGCCCTAGAGACATCTGGAGAGTCAGATTTGTTCTTCGTATGACGTGCAATTAATATTAAATTGTGGAGACACTGTGACTGTTCCGAAAAACCAGCTGGGATACCCCATTCACTCATAAGTAAAGCAATTTGTCCCATAAAACAAAGAAGGAGAGAACAACATATAGAACTACTACAACCTTAATTTATAGAGAAAGCCAGGTAAGGAGCTGTTTCAGAACTGACAGATGTGGTGCTGTGGTTTAATCCCAGCTGGCAACTAAGCACCACACAGCCACTCACTCACTCCCCCACTCCCCAGTGGGATGGCGGAGAGAATCGGAAGGATAAAAGTGAGAAAACTTGTGGGTTGAGGTAAGAGCAGTTTAATAACAATAATAATAACAGCAACAATTAAGAAAATAACAAGAGAGAGAACTAAAACCCAAGAAAAACATGATGCAAATGAAAAACAATTGCTCACCACCTGACGCCCAGCCAGTCCCCAAGCAGGGATCGCTGCCCCCCAGCCAACTCCCCCCAGTTGATATGCTGAGCATGATGTCATATGGTATGGAATATCCCTTTGGCCAGTTTGGGTCACCTGTCCTGGCTGTGCCCTCTCCCAGCCTCTTGTGCACCTCCAACCTTTTCATTGGCTGTGAATGAAGGGCAGTATGAGAAGCTGAAAAGTCCCTGACTTCGTGTAAGCACTACTTAGCAACAACTAAAACCATCAGTGTGTTAAACATTATTCCCATCCTAAGTCCAAACCACACCACTATACTAGCTACTAGGAAGAAAATTAACTCTACCCCAGCTGAAACCAGGACATGTGTTCAAAGGATGTATCCAGCGCTCACACCTGAATCCCAGAACACACAGCAGAAACTGTGATCAGGGTCCAACAGCTTTGCAGAGTAAATACGGCAATTCCCCCAGTGCATGTAAGCAAAAGAGATAGATATTCCATTTTACACTAATCAGACCATTTACTATTACTGTGGCCTAAAATATGAAAGTTATTTTGATGCAAGACAGACAGTAACTTGGTTAAACAAGAGTGGGGGAGGCAAGAAAACAGAAGATTTTATACTCCCAACAAATGCAAGATGAACTCTAGATATCTCTGTGGCTTTTCAGCATTATCAGATGAGAAACAGCTAATAGGAGTTCTAAGAGCTCAAGAGAAACGTGCAAGGCCATGCACACAGATACACTGAAGTCTGTCCTGGAGAGTTACTATTTCAGTAGATGTGGTTAAGGGAAAACAGATGAAGGGAGAGAGGCAGAGACCTGAAGAAGGCAGGTCTTTTCGTTACAGCCCATTAATAAGACAATTGCAGATGCAGGAACAGCGCGTCTCCCACCTCTCAGTTTATTATTTACCTACTGAACCACACTCCTACAACAGAATGTAAAGCATGAAACAGCCCAGACCTAGTCACATACAGCATCTCAAGATGTATGGACTCTATATTGTGATTTGCTTACTGCAGAGAAATGCTGTCATGATCAAGCATATGGATGTTTTATGTCTATCACATAAAAGAGTAATACAAAGTCTAAGCAAGGACTAAAGACCCAGCTGAACTACACACATAACAGCTCAACTGACATCTGGAAATACATCCCTTTACCTACACCAGTATAAGATCACAAGTATTGACACTAATGTGTGTGTTACCATTCATGGTCCTAGATTATAAGTAAGAGTATAAAAAGACCACACAATGGGATCACGAGTCCGTGTAAAACCAGTATCTCTTTTCTAACAGTCACTGTAAGGCTGGAGGAGGGCGAAGAAGAAGAAAATACAGTACTTCCAGCCTGACACTTCCAGCCTTCCCCTTCATCCTTCAACCACCTTCTGGTTGGGGATGTCTCAAGTCGGATGTGGTTTCTATGTATTCACCAAGAGACTTCTCTCCTGTCATCCAGCGAATGCATGACAAAGAGACGCAAAGAGAAACAACTGCACAAAGAACCAATTTCTTTTGTTTTGAGCTTGACTCTTACTAGTCTTATTTGAAGCCATTTGATCTACCTATGTGAACAACTATGATTATATCTACTTCCATTGTAAAATTAAGCACAAAAGCTCCCTTATTACTTCACTGAAGTTTAAGAATGAAGTTACATAGGATCTACAAGTGATGCACTTACCAAACTCACCTACAAATGCCTCACTTATCAAGCTTACCTACCTACACTAAATCAAACCATACATTTTGTGGGTTGTGTTGGTCACATATGGACACAAGCAAAGAACCCATGCTTCTTATCTTTGGTGTCTCTTTGGTTTTTGTTGGGTTTTTTGTTTTGTTTGAATTTGAAAATCACATACTATCATATGCAAGAAAGAAAAGTTTTCATAAATACTTAGTACAAATCACACACATATTTAAAACAGGATACAGGCTTTGCATTTTTCATGATTTTCACACTTTCTTCATAACAGGATACACTATTATGTCAACAGCATGTTTGATAGAGTGCGGAAGATTTAAGAAAATCAAACCCCAGATTATCTACTTACTATTTGTGATTTCCTTGGCATTGGTGCTGGTGGCTGGATTTGTGCCAAAGTATTTGTTGTAGAACCAGTTTGTGTTACTGGAATTTCACATACAGCCTCTCCTGCTGCTGAGGTAAGTAAAACAAGTAAATTTTAGGCATGCTTTAAAAAAAGTAAGAGTGATGATACAAATTGAAACCAAATTAATTATTCTTTAAATTATATGATTTTTTAATATATATATATTTCATTTTTAATGGTTCTTTCTGAATAACTGAACAGAATTCTTCTACTCTTCTCCTTACCAAAAAGGCCTCTTTTCCCAAAGACAACTGCCTAAGACCTTTAATACTGCAGATATGCTAAAAGAGAAAAAAAGCCTATAAACCAGATGAGAGCAGAACCAAATATCCCATTTCCCCCTTCGTACACTGCAGACTGCTTTTAGAACCCTTCTTTCCTAGTAAAGACCATCATTATCAAGACACTCTCTCCTTCACAGGAGACTCCTGAGACCGATGGCAGGTAGTCATTAGCAAATTCCCCTTGAGTATCATGGTAAGAATGAACGAACATAACATATACGGTGGAAGGGGAAACTGGGTAGGAGAAATTCCACTACAATCACCGCAGAATCCGCACAAACTTTACTTTGGACATTTTATTGAGATGACATTATTGCAATGTCCCAAAGTAGTGGTTACTTTGAACAATGAAAAAGAGCAGAATGAATAATAAACTCTGTTCATTATCATGAAATTTATCATTATCAGTATCAATTTGCAATTTAATTAAAAATGAGCTTTAGATTTTAAAACTAGAAACATGTTTTTCTATTCTAAAGTGTGTTCTGTTACCTTGTTTATAACACATGCAAACAAGAAAGTAAAGTTTTGATAATGCATCCTTTGAGTGGGGTTTAGGTGAGGTTAGTTAAGCTAAAGCCCAACTGGAATTGAATCTGGCAAGGGATGTCAAAGACAACAAGAAGGACATCTGTAAATACACAGGTAAACAAAAGGAAAATTAAGGAAACGTGGGCCCATTGCCCAATGAGATGGGGGATCTGGTTACACAGGACTGAGGTACTGAATGCCGCCTTTGCTTCAGTAAAAGACCAGTCTGAAAATGTGGAGCAAGGAAGTGCAAAGTCCTGCACCTGGGGATGAACAAGTCCATGCACCAATATATGCTAGTGGCCACCCAGCTCAGCTGGAAGGCAGGCCCAGAGGCAACGGGCACAAACTGAAACACAGGAAGTGCCACCTGAACATCAGGAAACATTTTGTTACTGTGAGGGTGACTGAGTTGTGGCATAGGTTGCCCAGAGGGGCTGTGGGGTCTCCATCTTCGGAGATATTCAAAAGCTGTCCGGACACGGTCTTGGGCAACTGGCTCTGGGTGGTACTGTTTGAGGAGGGGGGTTGGACCAGATGATCTCCCGAGGTCCCTCCCAACCTCAACCATTCTGTGATTCTGTTTCTTATTACTTGACTCCATTATTTACATTAATTGGCCCATAACTCTGTTCATGCAGAAGAGCTTGAGGCATCAGGGCCTACACAATCAAGAAGAGAAACAACAAGAACGCTGGTGCTGACTGACATTTAAATGTGTAAGGCAAATTTAAAAAAAATCCCACTCTCCCTTAGGCTGTTAAAATGATACCTTAATTTCAATAAAACAAATCTCTAAACTACAATTACCAGTTTGTTGTAGAGACCCAAGTCCTCTGGACTGCCCTTTGTTACTTAAGCCAGATGACTTCTCAGTCCTGTGCAGAAAGTTAGAAATTCATCCATTTAAGAAACAAGCAAGAACTTGAACCACAACAATACAGAGTATTTTCCAAATTATAAAATTCTTGTCATGTCTTCAGTATATTCCAGTGCCAGCTATTTTGCTTTTAAAAATACTACTTTGCTTCCGTATTTTTGATTGCACCAATCATAAGCTGCACTTAATTTAAAAATGTAAGGCTGAAGAATAATATAGGTTCAATTACTGCAATTTGTGTAGAACAGATTTTCTTTTCCTAATCTGTACATTATAGCAAGCTTCAGCAAGTTGCTTCTCCCTCTTACTTAGTATGGTATATGCAACCAAAGGACTAGAAAGGGAGCTCCAAGGTTGTTTACCTCTTTCATTCACAATGGATCAACCATGTATATTATTTATCTCACGTATACACATACATGTCCCTGTATCTTATAAGTTTGTATAGGGTGTGCTCTGCCAAATTTTCAGTGTCAGAGAATCCAAAACCTTCCCAAACAAGTTACTACAATATTTCCCTGTGCTTAGTTTTGGAAAGCTTTCCCTAGTGTCTAACTAAATTATTCTTACCACAACTTCAACAAAAGTTGTCTTTTTTAGAGCCACCATGAGACGTAAAAAGGAATGGCATAATCCAACACTTTTTACATATTTGAAGGTGTGTAGCTGTGCTACAATTTCTTCTATAAAAAAGTATAAGAGAATCTTATTTTTTCCAAACTTTTCTCACAAGTCATTATTTTCTAGACCTCTCATTACATTATTGCTCTCCCCTGGTTTCTGCCTCACTACTGAATACAGTAGTCCAGCTGAGGCGTTACTCATCTTGAGTGAATTGGAAGGATTAATTCATATAGTTTGCAGGCTATAATCAAACAATACTATTTCTCTTTGATTCTTCCACAACAGCATGAGTTGTTTGACTTACTTTTATTTATGATTCACTATTTCTTTGTAGATCCCTCCCTTAAGGACTTTTGTTTAACCATACTCTGCTGTTCTCCATGCTTTGTTTTTGTAGCTGATTGTTCTTAGGTACTAAGTGTTGCTTGCGGAATGACACCCCTCTTCTCCCTTGACTACTACTACTCCAGTTTCTCAAGGCTGATTTGGATATAATCCTGTTTTCCAGTACACTTGTCCCTCCTAACTTTGTTTCAGGCAAATTTAAAAACGGTATTTTCTGTTCCGGGTCTCTCTACTCCTGCCATGAATGAAAAATATTGAATGGAACATTGAACCCACGCAAAGCATGTGAACATGCACAATCAGACATAAGATCCCATTATCTCTTCTGTGTTATTAGATGAGAATTGTTCTTTGTGGCTTCTTATTTCCACCACAGCTAAGCATTCTGTAGATATTCTGCAAGTCACATCATCTTAAATCACTAGGCTGTCTTGCTTTTACTGTGGGAATCCTTGTAATTTGCTCCCTTAGTGTCTGCCTTCTGCTCATTCCCATACTCTAGAACACATCATTGGCAAAAGTATGCATGCTTTATAGATGACTTGCGTGTTATATACCATAAAATTGAAAAGTTACAAATAATTATGAAGTATATGAAATACTAAAATGACATCAGTTACCCAGGAATAGGCTTTCTTTGAGAGATTCTACTAGGAGGTTGTGGGGGCAGTGGTGGTGGGGTTGGCTTAGTTTGTGGAGGAGCTGGTTGCTGTTTAGATTGCTGGTTCAGAGCTTCTATAATGCTGGCTGTCTTTGCCACTGGAGGCGGTGGTGCTGGAGAAAGCACATCTATAGAAGAAAATTAGACATTGAAATGGAATTAAATTTCTATTTACCATTTTGTTTCTTGGGTTCTCATCCACAGGTTTTCCTGCTACGTGATTTACCCCTATCCAAGAAAAATGCTTTACTACATGTAATCAATAACTTAAACAAAAAGCAATCCTTCTGTTGGCAGGACCACCTCTTTGGAAAGAGGTTTACCTTTTGTTTCACCTAGTCAAGGTCAGAGAGCTCACACTTCAATTCGTTCAAGCATTAAAGTATAAGCAAATAAAATTCTTACCAAAGTCAGTCATATTCTTGAAAATAGTAGATCAGAATATGTTTAATAAAGTGCTAATATTGTTTGCTCAATCTAGGCCTTCAGTTTGTGTTTTATGGAAAAGTAACTGAGTGAATAATATCTGAGAAATGTTATTTGGAAGAATGTCTTTTCTTAAAATCCCATTACGATTAACATATAACTAACTTTGCATTAGGTTTAGCAATTAATTAAAATTTCTGTTGAATTCTTGAAACCACCACAACAGCACCTGGCAATGCATTAAAACATCTTTTTGCATTCCTATGGTCTGCGAGAATCAAGCACAATGTGGAGACATAGCCCCAGGCCTACAGGTAACACTCATCTTTACAACTAGTGAGAAATGCAGCATTGAAACTATATGTAAAAGTGAAGAGCTCTTTAGCTCTAGTACTAGATAGATAGTTCCTGTTGACCCTGCACTGCTCCATACAGTCCTCACTGGAACATCAGAGAAGACGGTTCATACAAAGTTACTGGATGGGAACGATAGGCCAAAGCTACAGTCACCAAAAGAGGAAGTATGAGTTGTGGAAATGGAAAAATAAGCCAACTATGATTAGATAACAGCAGAAGGGAAAACAGGGGAAAGTGGAAACATACTTGTAGATGTTACACGCAATGGCGGCACAGGGGGATGAATAGCTGGTGGATCTGATGAAGACCTCTGCCTGCTTATACTTTCCACTCCTAAAGAATTTGTCTTCCACATTGCATTAGATGAAGAAATTGTCTGAATACCACTGCCAAGAACTGAAGGCTGAACTAAAAAGAGAGGAAAATACTGTATTATTATTATTGCTTACCCTAAGCACAAAGTGTTAATATTCACACCCATGCTGGGTGCAGCTAAACCATGGTATTCAGCAATAGGAACCCCTGCCATGCTGCTGGAATGGCGGAGCAGAAATCAGTCTGGTGCAAAAAATTACATAAAAGTTTCTGGGTGAAGTCTTAACTAACACTTTACCTAACTAAAATTTGTCTCCAGTCATTACTTCAAAATAGGTCAACACTTGAAAAAGCAGAAATTTCTCAACAGAAAGACAGAAGGCAAGTCTTGCTGCCTTCTTTAATCCCTGACTGACAGCTGTAATCTTCTCAGGGACTGCAAAAACAGGACCTCACTCTCCCATTAGCATTAGCAGACATTGCTGACTCAAAGCGAAACATCAGTTTTGACTTGGAATTGACATAAAACTGTAATTCTGAATTGCACCCAAACAAGAAGCTGTAATAACTAGTCATGAAACAGTTACAAAGTACGACTTCTTCAGGGCCTCCTAAATGACTCCATTCTTAGGCTGAAGAGCTGCCTCCCCATTTAATAAAAACACACTACAGGTTTTCTTCATAAAACCTGTATTTTGCACATATTCTGCCAGTTCTCCCTACTCAGCACATGAGCATCATATTAAGAAAAGATGAAACAGAGTAAGGTATGAATAAATATTAGGTTGCAGGGAAAAGCATAAAAAGCTCAGAAGACTCTGGAGAACAGCCTAAAGCTAAGAGGATAAAGGAGTAATAATACACCATAATATCAACAACATCAGCAATCAACAAGAACCTAAGATTGATGGCACTATTATAGCTTTTAACTAAGAATATAAAATAACAGGCTAATACATTGCTAGAGTAAAGTATATGAGCTAATAATCTAAGCCAGGCAGTGTGCTTTCTTGGCATGAGTTGCGTGATACTGGTGCCAAGAAGTTTGGGGTCAGGCATGAAATTAAAATGACACCCTTTGAAAAGTGTCATTTTAATCAAGGGCAAACAGTGGGTAAAATAGTATGGCTGGCCATGATTAAAATAAATCAAAGGGTAAACCAGTCTTTTTAACTATCCAATTGTATTATTAATTTAGAGATAGAGTCTAACAGTTAACCAGATGAAGCAAGCTCCTTGGGTGAATTTTCCTGTTTGGTGGAAGAAACATTCCTTTCCATCAAGTAAAAAAAGCATCTAGATATTAAGCTTAGACTTCATGCAAAAATGTTAGATGAAAGGAATCCCACCTTGGTTAAGTTTTTTTATGCTGCTAAACTTCCCCCAGTCTCATTTTACCCTTTTTAAGTAACCCAGTACCATGATGTTCTATTGCTTTCAAGTTTTTCTGCTGCCAAAACAACATATTTTAATCTGACTTTTATGCTGCAGCCATTTCTGTGAGACCAATAACTGACTTCATATTACACAGATGTTCAGTTTGCCATCTGAGACACAATCACTGGTGTACGGAGTCTTGCATTCTGACCTCTGCACAGTGCTCCCAAAGGCAGAGCCACTCACATATGCCTGGAACATTCTCCGCTCATATCTCCTCTTAAGAAGTCCAATTTACCACACCACAGAAAATCATGTGTTTACGTAGTCATTTTTCTTGAATGAAATTTTACATAAATCTAGCATCCATAAAAGCTGCTGGATTAATAAAGGTATTAAAACAATGAAAAGCACCCAATGTTTACTGTACAAAGAGGATCTATAGAGATTTTTCTACGCTTCAATATGATACAAACAGATTATACATGAAGATAAGAATGAAGTTCACAGCATCAGCTTTAACTGTAGATTTTGCAAGCACACAACCCTTCTGAACCACGATGAGATGTGCATTTTACATTGTTCTGCTGATGACAGTATAACCAGTAATTGGCAGTTCCATTTTCAGTCAGCTACCAAAATCATCCAGTTCTCCACATCATGACACTTACTCTTTTATTTCAACAACCTTGAATCATGCATTTATTAAGAGAAGACTTTGCAAGGTTAAAATCTCTCATGTTCTGCATACACTCTCCATTCTCCCAGGTCTTAAACAATTTTACACAGCAGCCAAATGCTATTGAAATGGTATGTTTAAATTGAACTCCGACAATGACATCTTCAAGAAACAGAAGTTTGAAAAAAAGTAATATAACAGAAAAAAAATTGCTGAACTAAAGGCAGACTGCAGTCCTCCTTTTAATAAATTGTTTAACTCTATTGAGGTTACCTGGGCATTGTTTTCCCAAACACTATTGTCTACTTTTTTGTAGGTATACTGAAAATCAAACTCAGAACAGGTTGTGTAGATTCACTTCAAGTAAGATGAAGTCATCAATAAACTGTTCCAATACTTACCTGTGCAAAAGAACTGTAAAAGAAAACCTAAAAATGTAATAATAAAAAAATGTCACGATCCCATTCTTCTAACATACAACGATATTTTCCGGTGTTAGTACCTTTGCCAATATTCCTTGGAGGTAGAGGAGGTGCACTACTTGTAACAGGTACTGTGGGCTGAATGGGAGGTGGACTGCCACTGAGTATTGCTCCATATGTCTCATTCTGTAATATACTTGGCATAAATCCTCTTTGCTTATCCTTAGCAATGTTCGCTGCATCTCTTGCCAAGGATGCTACATTAGGCTGAAGTTGGTTTGATCCCAGTTGATAGAAGCTGACAGGCCTGTCCTCCCTCCGATTGGGACTGGGTTGCTTAAACACAATAACAAAAGTACTCACTGATACCACATTAGCTGTACTCATTTTATTTATTATTTGATAGAAAGTTATTAGTTTCTAGAAAGAAAATATGGCTTCTAAAATGTATTTTTTGTTGCTTTTAATACATAATGTAAACCCTAGATTCTGCCCTCTTCAAGACAATGTAATTGTGCATATTAACAAAAAAAAAGATTAAATGTCAATTGCATTTTAAAACAATTTTCATTTTCTCATTTTCTCCTGTTGTATACTCTTATAGGATAATACTGCATCCTTATATACACAGGACTATCTATAGATAGTCAATATGGATATTCAGACTGGATCAAGTAAAGCTTCCCTGCATCAAAATACCAGGCAGTATTTTCCAAAGTAAATAAACCATTGAAGATCCTAAGCCTCATCTGAAGTTCAGCAGTATTAGATCCCAAATAGATGATCATGATCTCAAAACCAGACACAATTGCAACATAGTATTCTACCTGTACCTCAGCCTACAACAAATTAGGAGTCCAAACTTCTCATGAAGTCTTTCTAGCTCATTAACATTGCTGGACAAGTTCGGGAGATTACTTCAATTGGCAGCTGGGATGGAACATTGCTCATTCCATGCACATTATCAAATGAGATCTAATTAGTTGTCTTTGAGATTTACAGCAAATCATCTGCTTGCTATGCACACTTAGCATTATTTTTCCTATTTCAACAGCAAGCATAGTAATTATTGTTATCAAATTTTAATTAAAATAGCTTGAGTTGTAAATTCATGTGGCTAGAGCAGGAAGGGGTTATAACAATCCACAGCTCAGAGAGCATAAATATGCCTTTAGAAATAGCGTTAGATAAACATATCGCTGACGTACTATCTGTATGAAATTAAAATAACCACTTATAGTAATAGCATTTAGGCAGAATAAAGATTTACACCAACAGTATCACAAGCAAGCAATTGATTTTCCTTTGAATATATTCAATGCTTACGCTGGATTGATCATGTAGGCCCTTTAGACACATTATAGCACAGCATTATAGTTCAAAGATTTATCAGAATGACGTATGTGACAGTCAGACGCATTAATCCCTACCCTTAGTTTGGCTTAGCAGCCTCACTCCTCACTAGCTGACAGTCTCCATTCCCTGACCTCTCCACTGTCCTGGTTCTGGTATTTGTTTCAGCCCACACTTGCTTCTGCTGTCTAAACCAGCAGAAAATTCTTTTTTCGTTTTCTTGATTTAGCTTTTCACTGGTTTACCAAAGAGAAGCATCTCAATACAGGGACAAATGCGTGCCAGAACGGAGGCAAAAGATGAGGTAGGACCAGGCAGCCAGAGTGTGGAACATCACTAGAAACCAGTTGGATTGTGTTAGCCTTCTTTCAGGTTAGACTCTCTTTTATATGAAAAATTCTGGGCTAAAAGAACTTCAATTTTAGTCATGACCTTTACTGACAAAGATTACAAAATCTATTCAATTGCTTTGCCAGAAAGAGACAAGCCCAATAGCTTGCATCTATAAACACAACTCTGACGTGATCCTAAGCAACAGCAGTATTCACCAGTGCATTCGATGTAGTCACAGACACTAGTCTGTGATTAATAGTCCTTAATCTCCTTTCAAAAGTCCCTGTAGTATAAGCCTATTAATAGTGGGCAGTGAAATAGCAGTTTCATTACGTTAGCCTCATTGCTGAGTAGCAGATAACTTCCTATATGAGATGGAGCTCAGGGACTAGCCAAAAAGAGAACACTCAACTGCAGTAGGCAACTGGCAACAATGAAGGAAGCAAGGGAAAAAACAGATCAAAAAGACAAATTTAGAGTGTCCCAGAAAGGGATTTGCTAGATATGTAGTTGCAAAGTACCCAAAAGGTTTTACAGCTGGAAAAAATGAAATCTCTAAAACATAAAGTTTCAAGGTGCTTTGTCAAAAAGGTCATCATTACTGCTGTTATTATCTGGATGGTGATACCATATATAGGAATGCATAAATACTGGGATTTAATATGAAAGTTCACCCAGAAGAACTGGATTTAGCAGCTCACATTCCAGATTCTTGCACTGATACCAAAATTCTTACAAAAATTCTCAGAAGGTAGCAATTGTGCTTTGAACTGGGACTTGTTTGCTCTTTGTTGCTAACTGTAGTTCAAGTCAAGCACCAGGGGTAATAGCTATCTTGTACTAAAGAGACAGGACGTGGGGAGAAGAATCCTATGCAGACAAGACCTTGCAAAAATGGTATTTTGCAACAGAAGAAACTCATCGATATCAAAATCCGTCTCCAAAACATTATGCCAAATCAATGGTTTGATGGCCTAGCATTTTTGAAGTCATTCTGTGAAAGCAAACAAAATGAACCTGACTGTCACATTTTACTAAAATCTACACACAAGTTTTGGTTTTATGTTATTAATTATTCGCAATTCATGCCCTCGCTGAGATGGGGGATTTTGCAAGAGAATTATTAAAATGCTAAAACTTGTAGAAATAAAAAAAAAGTCAAATTTCATTATCCAGAGGAGAAAAAGGTTTTTGTTAGCTACTTTCAAGAGAAAAAAAAGGTTGTGCTAACATCTGAAGATTAACTAATATAAAGCCTATTGTGTATTCCTTGTACTTTACAAAGGAAGCAGAAAAGGCATAAGCTATTGTAACTCTACACACAAAAAAAGAACAAACTCATGTGTTCAATATTTACATGGAATACTTCAAATTATGAAAATTTCAGAATGTCATTAGTATTTAGGAGTCTATAAATCATTTCAAATTACTTGGCCCTTAGAAATCCAAGCTATTTTTAAGTGTTGTACAGGTATCAAAACATGGTAGTTTGTTTTCTGTCTGTTTCAGTGCTTAAATACTTTTTGAAGTTGGTCCCCAAATTGGGAAATTAAATTTTGAAAATGCAATGAAGTTCCTATGCTACTGGAATATTTTGTAATACTTGTACTATGACCATCCTTGGAGATATTCAAAAGCTGTCTGGACGTGGTCCTGGGCAGCTGGGTCCAGGTGACTCTGCTTTAGCAGGGGGGTTGGACCAGATCATGTCCAGAGGTCCCTTCCAACCCCAACTATTCTGTGATTCTGGATCAAAGAGCACCACACCACCACCATAAATTTCAGGTATGAAAAGGAAAAAAAGCCCAAAAATATTTTTACATGAAGATTCAGAATTAAGACCCTACTCTGTTATTAACGGATGTGGCTTGTTTAATGCACAGGTTTAGTTCCACTGAAGACAAGCCAATGCATAAACTGTTCCAAAATTAAAGCCATCGACTGGAGTGGAGTAGGAGACACTACAAGGTGCCTCTCTTTGTAAAGGCAATTTTCCCAGCTTATGTTAGTTCTACTTCACGATCAGCAGATCTAAATATGCCTGATGTATTGAAACAAACTATTGACTCCATTAAGAAAAAGATACCACATCTAGCTAATTGTAATTTGATCATCACCACATGGTCATATGTTTTATACCTTGAAGAGGAAAAAGAAAACAAACTATAAGGAATTAAAATTTAAGCTACTACATTTTACTACAGAACTTTATTTCACAGTGTCTTCATACCTATAGTAAAAAGTAGTGTTATTAAAATAATTATGAACAAAATGCTTACACAGTTACGTGTACAGAAAACCAATAATGTTTTGATACAAACCTGCAGCTTTTCATCCACATCATCATCACTTTCATCTAGATCTTCATGGAGTAACCGCCATTCATATTCTACATGAACATGAGAATTAAATCTTCCAGACAGTGCTTGAGTAAGCTAAGGAAAAAAAGATGACTGTTGACACGTATGTTATGTGCAGTACTTATTTTAAAACAACGTATTTAAAAACAGACAAAAAACACATATAGAAGGAACCTCGGTTTCTAAGTACAAGTATTACTTTTATTTTAAAAACAGATTTCAGTAATCTAGAAAGTTACTGCATTTGAGTAAGTTTAAAGAACTAAGCTCTGTGACAACACAAATAAATCAAAGGTAACGAGACTTTTATTAACCATTGTAGGTCCGTTCTCCATTTTCTGATGATAAGCACCACATCCTATTTGCTTTGATTTAGAAATTGCAAGTCAAAGAAATTAACTGCAATGACAGGTTTTTTAAATCAGACTCACTGATCAAGAAGCCTTGACCCCACTAATCCATTTTTCTTTCTTACTAAAAGTAGTGATGGTAGCCAACTTCTCTTCATAGAATCACAGAATGGTTTGGGTTGGAATGGACCATTAAAGACCATCTAGCTCCATCCCCCCTGCCATGGGCAGGGACACCCTCCACTGAACCAGGTGGCCCAAAGCCCCATCCAACCTGGCCTTCAACACTTCCAGGGATGGGGCATCCACAGCCTCTCTGGGCAACAAGAGAATGGCCTTTATCCATGGCCTTCACCCATAAAAAGTACTTTAGTGATTAGATTTCAACAGGATGTCAGACGGTTGTGGATCTGGGACTAATAGCTCAAACAGAATCATCCCCTGGCCCTAAGAAGTTTAGTATTTCCAAAGCATCTAAAAAGAAATATAGTTTTCTTCTTAAAAGCATATCACTTCAGATAAGCATATAACTATTTCTAAGCATACAACTATTCTGTCTGAAATATATTCGTTGAATATTCAACTGTAAACTGTTAAATATTCAGACATGATTCTGCTTATAAATGTGCAAACACAGACAGATGCAACACTTACCAACTCTTCACAGTGAGTATGTTTTAAGCGTTTAGCTATATCAAGTGGCGTCTCTCCTGATTCATTAGCTATATTACAGCAAGAAAAAAAAGTTATGATGATAGGTGTCACTATTAATATGTCCATTACTAAAGACAAACCTGCAGGTACATAGTGAAGACCAACACACTCTAAAATATCATCTTTCCTTCATTTGTATGTCCACCTCACACCAACCCTCTGAACATGACAAAGAGTAGCAACTCAACATGCCATATGTATGGAAAGACAGCCATGAAATGGCAGTATGTATCTCAGCAATCAGTTGAAAATCTTGGTACTCACTTATCTAAATTTGTTTAAAAACCAAGTGTAATGTATAAGTCAATTTTAAACTTGAAATAAACAGTGAATATTGATTTTTTTATAATGAAGACTATATTCATACAATTATGATAAACAATTGAGGAGAAAATGGACTTATTCCACCTTCACTGCTTCTTATCTGAAGCAGTGACAAACATGAAATTGAAGTACACATTACTTTTACCTATTTCAATAGAAGCCTTCCCTCTCAGCAGCAGTTTGAGGCACTCAACGTTGTCCGTCAAACAGCAGTAATGCAGGGCTGTGCTACCTTTAGATGTTTGCTTATCTAGATTGCCACTATTGGAGTACAAGAAAGAAGACGAAAGCTGATTAAACTTAGTTTCCCAGCTTATATTAATAAACCTCTCTCATTTTAAGATTTTCAAAGAATAAAATTACATTTAAAAATGCTAGAATTAGTTTTAGTATTTGTATTCATTTAGTATTTGTATTACTTGACATAAAAGCAGTATCAGTAACATTTTAATAGCTTTACATACACTTACCTGTTCTGCACTAAAAAGTCAACTATATGAAGGGATGTTCGATCAACTGACCTAACAGCAAGGTGAAGTGCTGTTTCGTCTTGCTCCTAAGAATAAAATAAAAGAACACATTTGTTTCTTCTGATCTACAGAGAAGCAGAAATTTTATTATGACATAAATTAGATCAATTAAAACATTTAATTCCAAAATATTCAGACATGCTACCATTAAAACATATCTTGTGAAGACTTCTATTGCTTCCCTTTTGTTCCTTTAATGTAAACAAACGAGTTGAAAACAAATAGATTACTGAATGATTTAATGCTTAACGTTTTCATACATTTAAAATATGACTGTATTTGGAAACAATTTTAGATTAAACTAATTAATATCTTTGTTATTGCTAATTACATCATCAAAAGGACAAGTGTTCAGAACAGTGTTTCAAATCTTATTTTCAAATAAGAAAAAAATAGTCCTTTTTCATTAATGAGAGCATATTGCACTTATAACAATTTGTCTAATAAAATTTACAACACTTACGTGGCCATTGGCCAGTGGAATTTTTTCTGTGAGATCCACACCATCAGCATATACTTGGACTAATCCAAGAATGTCTCTTGATTTGACTGCTTCACAAAGAGCATGTAATTTAGCTGCATTGTCAGCATGCTTTTTCCTTGCATATTTTCTCTCAATATACTTGGCAGTAATATAATCTTTTCTTGCATTCCTGAAATTGAATATAATTTACTTCTATAACTTTTAGCAGAAGATACACATTAGCATTACCATAAATACATGCAAGTCATTTGAAATAAAATCTGGGAAAGACTATTTCTCATTCATTATGATAATTTTTCTTTTTTAAATATGCATGTAAGACATGCAGTCTCGTATTTCCAGTATGAAATGTAGCTACAGAAGACGAATCAAATATCCAATATGAAGACAGACCGTGAATTTTCCCCTCTGAACTCTGGTGTGAAGTTGAGCTTGAGATTACCCAGTTCTACGTACAGAAGATACGTCGAAGCTTCAGAACGCTGCTTTGCTAACAGTAGCCTGGCAGGTCTATGTTTACCTGACTTGGACTCCTACACATGCTGGAAAGGGATGGAAGGCATGGGATACACAAATCAGTCTTATACCTCTGCACAGACTATCCAGGCCTTGGATCTGTACTCACAGCAGTGAGTATGTTCTGTACAGCAACTCTTCACCACAACATGGAGGATGCAGTGGAGTTTTTAGTTTTGCCTCTAAACTGAGCTGAGAACTTAGTACACTTGAATCAGCACATGAGTTATCACTTTTGCTGTTGATACCCAACTAACAAATGACTACTCCTCTTCCCATCACAGCAAGACAGGAGCTTGCATGCTTCTCAAAGCCGTAACTGCTTACCAGCTCTTCGGATGTACACAACATTTCAGAGAAGACACTTAGCAAAGCCATACTTTATCATCTAGATACCGTACAATGGGCAAAAAGAAAAAAATCCAAATAATAATAAATTGCATCAATGGGTAGCTCTTGTTCCTCAAGCATATGGCAGACAGTATTCCTTCATGGTTTTTAAAAAGTGTTTGTCTTCGGGTTCTCATTTAATTTAAAAAACCCTCCAAATTTGATATGTAGATGTATCAAACTAAATGACATTTTTAAAGTATCATTTTTAAGAAGTCGTCTTATGCTATTGATTTAGCAGTCAGTAAAATTATTACTAATTTTAAATAATTAATATTAATATTCTGTATTATTATTGATAGTGGTACTGAAAAATCATTTGAACTGCATGGTTTAACATCGATTCTGTCAGAATGGTACAAGTCCAGATAATGTAAAATCAGCTTCATCCAAAGCCAATTCTTCTGGGTTTGTTTATGTATCATTTACTAACTCTTTTATGATGGAGTAGTATCCAGCCAAGTAGGCAGCTGTCCTTACTGTGTCTCTGCCATCACAGTCCAGTGATTTCGAGGAATTCAGTTAAATGTTCTGTCTTTATTCCACAGAGTTAAGGACTTAAGTCCTAGGTGTAGTTTCTAAACACTAGGTGTTCAGTATCCTTCATGTAAAATGTGTATCTTATTCCAATTTCTATTTTGTGTTTAAATAGCACAAAATTAACAGCTTTGGTTTTAATCCTTACGCTTGTGTGTCTTTAAAATTCCCAATAAGCCATGTTTAATTTGTTTCTGTCCCACAAATCATGATTCAGAGAGTTGCTAAAATAATTCTTACTATTGGGGAAGGTACAATCAAATAAAGTTCAATAAGACAGACATGCAAAGCATCAGAAAAAAGGTTTACTTTTTGGCTATAAGACATTATATATCTTCCATGGCCTGCTGGTGCTACCCATAAAGGCACAAACCATTAGCAATACTAAATTAAATACCTGCCTTTTTCAGAAGTAGTGGATCTTTACTTACATATCACTGCTTGGATTAGGTTTGACCACCTCATCAACTGGCAGACAGAATTCCATAATCTCATTAAACCCAGCATTCCCAATATTCTTTGCAAGCTGGTAAAAAAAAAAATAAATCCACAGCTCACTTAATCAACATGTTCAGTTATTGGCCACACACGTACTAGTGGGAGAACAAGGCAAAATGGGAGTTGGGACTTTTTGTTTCTGATTCCTAGTATTGCTACTATGTCAGAATCATGAACAGATTAGGTACCTTTTTGGATGTCAGCGCTCAGCTGCAATTTAATATACAAACAAGGAACTGCAGAATAATCCATCAAGATGCCAGTTCATAGAATAAATGCAAAATACTTTGTGCTGGGTAAGAACACACATATGAACTGTCACAGAGCAGCTGATATGCAGTAATGTCTTTGTGTAGCAAAGCTGAATACATTTTCTTCCTTTGAGGATTAAAGTTCTCTTGTAAAATAATGCTAAATAATTAATGGGATAAGTATTTGTGAAGTCCTTCAATTTTTAATCTGAGGCACATTTATATGTCAAACAGCTGTGTTCTTCTATAAAGCAACCAAGGCTAAAATGACTTGGAAATGCAAAAAATGGGAAGCCTCTACTAATATGAACTTCAAGATCAGGCAAAATTTACAGTAAGACACTATGTTCCAGGAGGTTCCCTTAAAAATGAAGAATTAAGCTTTCTTAAATTATGTTTATCCAGAAGCAACTTTCAAGATTGGAACAACTTCTTATTACAGTGATAAAAATACGCTGTGTTGTAAGTATTTTATAGTACTATTTTTAAGTTAATAAAAGCAATTTGATTACCAAAAGTTCAGATGTTCCCAGCACATCTAATGTAAGTGACTGCATTCTGGAATAGTGAACACCAAGTTCTCTATGGATTCCTGAGCATTCAATGCAAGTTAGAATTCCCAAATTTGTTGAAAGCCAGGTAGGATCTGAAACAGAAAGCACCCACAAAACTGAAATTTATTCAGGCAATTATTTAATTCTAGAAAATGTAATATACAGAAATGAAATTCTGTAAAATAAGATTCCAGTATGTGAATTATCAGGTATTTTAATTTATGTCTTTACATTTACTCTATTGGGAAACACAAATCAGGATTTTTTTTAATGACAAAAGAAGTGAAGATTTAATTTTTTTTTTTTTTTTTTTTTTTTTTTTGGTAAAGGACAGGACCCTCCAAGGGAGCTGCTAAAACAGTCCAGCTTGTCATTCTCCACATGGCTTTCAGGAACTGCGTTTTCCCACAAATGCACACCAACTGGGGGTACAGGTGCAGTTCAAATCAAAATAACAATGCCTATAGGTGGTTGGGGGTTTTTCTGTATTTCAAGTACAGACATTAGGCTAGTGAAGCAGCAGTGATTCTGAAGTGCACATACAGCACCACACTACAATGGATTCTCACTCAATTATTTCAAAACTACGAACACTCATCCCTCTCCTTTCATTACCCTGGCTTGTCTTTTCACCTGGTATTTTGCATTCTTGCTATAACGTTCCCTTATCTTCCAGACAAATAATGAATTTCTGAAGATTTAGGCAGCTTAAAAATTAATTTATTTGATAAAGGATTGGTAGTAGCTATTTAGAATCTTCTCCTTTAAAGACAGCAGGATTGACTCTTCTCATAGTTTTATACAGTATCTATTGCTGGAAGCTACTATTGATTTATAAAGTGGATACAGCTTCAGATCTGATGTTTTCAGCTACAGTTTCAGATTAAAAAACCCTGAGTCCTGCAGTGCCTCTGTAACATACAAGAACACAGGAAACAGCAGGATTTAAAAAATAATTTGACGAGGATTAAAGTAGAAATTCATCGATCAAGAAACCAACACTGCAAACCAAAGTCAGCAGGTGCATTCTTTTCCAAATGAGCACAGTCTTAGACATATTCCCTGGCTCACTCTCAAAGTTAAAAATAAAGGGGGGGGGGGGAAGGAAATGAAAGGAAAAAAAAGAGAGCTGTATTAGGAAAATACTTGAACTATCTTATTTCTGTCCAGTTTTACCTGAATCTTAAGTAAAATATGGGCTAATAAAATAAGTTCAATTGATTTATATAAGCAAAAGTTAAAATTAGCAAAATATATTGGGGAAAAATAAGCTTCTTAGTATTTTTTCTCCCCACTGACAATATGTATATAGCAAATCAATCTTACTAAAGTAGGGCAATTAAATTGTTAGCATATTCTACAATGTGTATAATCTTTGTGAGATAAGGAGTAAAAGTGAAAGCATAAACCATCAGCTTAAATACTTTCATGACACACAGAATTTTTACCAATTAGAAATATGCTTAATTGAGTCACCTTGTGCTCCACAGTCACAACACACATCATTTCCAGTCATCCTCTGGACTTCAGATATAATTTCTTTTGTCAGTTCCTGGACAATATTATTTTCTCCTGTGTTATCATCTCCTTTGAATGCATTATTTAAAGCTTCCTCTTTGCTGTTTTGTAGCACAGATGTCCATCTAAAATGGCAGTAATATTTTGCTATTAAATGTTTCAGCACTTCTAAAGTTCAAGGTAACTTCTCAGTAGAAGATACACCAGTATCACAAATAAAATTAGCAAAGTAACTCACATTTGACATTCCTGTTCATCCTCTGCTTGAAAGTGGTACGTCCTGTCATCTGCACAATAAATAATTCATATACTGATTAAAAAAAAAAAAAAGATTGAAAAACTGATTTTGCAGAAATCTCTCAGAAAAATCTAAAATTAATTGATGTATGACTCCTGAGGTCTCTAGTCTCATCACTGGAGTGTGGACAGGCAAAAAGTCTATTTAGCAACTTTCGCTCATTCTACCAACAGTTCATCTATGTTTGTATCTATGTTTGCACAAGGTGACTTGCTGCTCTTTAAACAGAAACTCTTTTCATCAGTGCTGTGCTTCTGTCACATAAGCAGCAGGAGAGCATAGTAATTTTTCCATGTTCTAGATATAACTTCAGTAATCACAAGTCTAAAGTTCTGCTGGAAGTGGTGGTGTGTGTGCCTAAAATATAGAGTCCATATTTGAGTTTATCTGTGTATATAAGAAAGAATTAAAGTTTCCAAATGAGCCCTTAAAACCACAGTAATCAAAAATGGCAAAACAAATTTGCCAGACGCAAAGTTCAAACTACAATCAGAGTAAGTCCCGAGCTGTTTCAATTAAATCAAGCTCAAAATTTTCAATTTACTACTACTTTTGTAATTCTAAGCATTGTTATCACGGTATACTAATAAAGAAAAAAACATAATACATTTTAAGTCTATGAAACAAATGAGGTATGATACAGTTTGGTGATTGAGTTGGAGTTAAAATTAGAATAGTTGATGAGAAGAACAGAGGTAAAGCTACTGGCAGAAAGATATCCTAGGCTGAAAATTCCTAAAGGTTGAAACATATTCAGGCAAGAAAGTATTAAAAGATAGTTTCAAACATGAAAAATGTTGAGAGTTAGGATACATTAAAGGACAGAAACGGAAGTGCTAGATAAAGAATAAGAGATTTTATCTTGGCACGATACTGCAATTTGCAGTTTTTAAAAACGAGGAATGTTTTTAAACTCTATAGCAAAACAAAGTGAAAAAGTGATCTGCAGAAGGATAAGAGGCCGGTTATGCCTCGTCCTGTGTATGATGGGACAAATTATAATGTTGTGATAAACTGATATTGGGAAAAATGTGACACTGTAATCAACAAAGTAAGTGCCAAAGTAAACGGGAGACCATTTGTTTGCGCAGCAATGGAAAAGCTGTATATTGCATACACGAGTACTAGCCTATTAACATAAGTAGCATATCTTACATTTACAAAGAGAAAACAACTTTATGCTCTGACAAAGGAACAACTGAGGAATAGATTTATATTCTTCTTCCCAAATAATTTGAGATAAATATTTTAGTAATGTATTTTAATTGAGTCCATACATATAATACTAAAATGTCCCAGTGAGAAAAGAAAGAAGACATTCTATTGTACAATTTCATATCATCCCATTCAGTTCCTAAAATTATTCAGTTTTGGTGTTTTTAATATGTATACTCTTTATCTCACCTTTATCATTAGATAACAAAACTAAAAAAAGTTTTCAGTATTTTCTTCACAGTTACATAGCAACCACTATGCTTACATTTTAAGAAGTTTTGTTATGGTTTAAAAGCTTCTTTTGATCTTGTACAAAAGTCATAACTTTCCAAGATGATTCAACATTTTGAATATAAAGAAGGATGTCACAGAAAAAAAATGTTACTCTATTTTAAGGCAGCACAAAATTACATAGAATGAAGGAGTAAAACAGCTTTAAAAACAAGTGGTATTCCACAGAAACAGGTACAGTTAGTTGCTAAAATAAACGTAGTGGGAAATTCTCATCGGAAGGGCATTTTATAAAGGGAAGTATTCTACAATTGTGAAAATGTTTAAGTGGATCACTGATACATCTACAGAAATAATGGAAACCCCTTTGATATTGCCTGCAAGTAAAAAGATGTAAACAACAAACCTACGTGATATGAGGTCAAAACATTTTTTCTCCTCTGGGTTTGTTTTCACTTGGCATGTTAACAGATTGAGCTTTGCTGGAGGTCGGTTAGCCTATTCAAAGATAAAACATAGACATTTTAGTATATTGATACTGAGCCCTGCAGTCCAAAAACACAGGATAGCATCCCACTGGCGAAAAGACTTGACAAATGGCTGTTACTTTAATTTTTAAGGTACCCAGGTTTTGATTTGTTTTCTTCTGCATCATGGTTTGTAAACTACATTTTCTTGTAGTTGGCTATTTTGTTCAGTGATAATGGGATAAACACTAGAATTTGGAAAAGGGAGAGGGATAAAATCACTTTAATTACCACTATTCTGATCATCTTACCAGTAACACTTATCTGAAGGAATCAGATATAACAAAGAGACAGATTCATTTCAGGTAAGTTTAATCCTCTAATATTTAGGCATTTAGTTTAAAAAAAAAAAAAATTAGTTGTCTAGGTATAATCAAATAATTTGATTCCTGCTAATGTCTTTAAAGAGCCTAGATAACCAGTTTAGAACAAATGCCCAATTTTTACATCAGTAATGGCAGACTTTGAAGGAAAGTAAGAAGTTTGCACAGAAGTCTTGCAACAAACATATGTAAAACTAAACCGAGACAGTTCATTACCAAAAAATGTAGTGAAACAAAATATATTCTATAATGATACAAGTTTTCTAGTCAAGTTCCTCTCAGCTGTATGAGATTCTTATTGAATATCAGTTCCTTATTGAATAAAAAGTGTCAATGTTTTACTCTAAGCAAAATGCATAAGAAAACTTATTTTTTTAAAAGTTCCATAAAGGCTCCAAAGACTTTTCAAATAGCTTCTCTGCACTAATCTCTTCTTTCCCTTAAACTGCCTGTCCTACAGACCTGGGTTAGGACCTGGAAAGACATTATGTTTACAACCTTGACTTGAGGAATGGCTTTGCACTTGCTACAATGGATAACTAGTTTCACTCTCCTTTCAGAATAATTAAATTAGAAAGCCAATTTAACTAGAGAGGCTCTGGTCTAGACAGTAATATTTGGAAAATAATAATTTGTTTAAATCATTAGGAAAGTACTATTATAAAGATAGCAATATACATTAACACATTACCATACTTATTGTTGCATTCTAACAATGCATTGTAATCTATCAAGTTGCTAAAACAAGATTTAATCATCTAAACAAGAACTATTATCTAATGAAACTGAACTACCACATAATATAATTAACTTGCAATGAATTGTAAGAAACATAGATCTTCTCAATCTCCTCTAAATTTATTGATTTCATTCAATAAAGAAGGAAGAACAAGTCTGAAGAGTACAGATTTCCTTGAAACAGTCTGATAAAATGATGTAGCTGGCCAAAAAATGTGTTTCTTATATCTGAAGACCAGTAAAAAATCAAAACCGTGTAGAAACATAAGACAAGGAAAAACAGCATGCTCATGCTTTGCCCCACATAAGCAGCAGACATAAGGTCATGGATGCTCTGAAACAACAAACCTGCAGGTCACTTGCTGGGCAATGTAAAACAAATTGTACCCAAGAGAGGTTTTGGAAGCAGCAAGATGACAATTAATTGACAACCACATCGTATTCTCTCCCTAGTAAATAGTTTTTCAAATTCCAGACATTCCTTATAATAGTAAAAGCGCATACAGTTTTCATTATTACAGCCTATCAACAACAAGAGTTCTTTGTAACTAGGAGCATATGATAAAATATCTTGAAAATGCCAGCTTGGGCCCACTTTCTTGGTTATATTTAAAGGTATTTAATATCCATAGCACTGCAGTTTCCACTGTCTACATTTTTAATGTAAATGTTTGTCCAAGAAGTGTCCAGAAATCACCTATAATGAAAATACAAAATAAAGCAAACAAAAATTGAAATGTAAGTATTTGGTAAACAAGCCACTGGGCAACTCATATATACCTTTCTCACATGCTCTATGAGAATGTAAAAATGCAAGTAAATTCAGGTTAAGAAAGAATGCAACTTGCTCCAGGACTTTAGATCTGAAGCGGATTCAGGACTGAACTAGTTTTCTATAACTCAGGAAATTTGAAGCCGTAAATGGATGCACTAAAATGCTTCAGAGAGGTCTGAAGGACAAATATACTCATCTCTCTGGGTAGGAGAAAGCAGCCTAAAAACTCTGTATCAGGATCTGAGAACCCAAAGAAATGGCTGCAACAACCTAAACCACACCCTGAGCCAATGTGCTCATCTTGAAATCCAAACATATTCCAAAGCTTTTAACTGAGGACCTCCTAACCTGAAGTCAGCATTAACAAGGGTATTAAAACCCCTGACATCTTGGCCCACGGCTGATACCACCAGAGTCATGCGTCTATCCTGTGGCTGAATCATAGCCTCTCCCCACCCGCCTCCCCAGCACATGCCCATTACTTGGGGGGACAACATGCTTCCGTCATACGGCTGATGCTGCCTGGGGAGAAGTTAGAGCCTCAGACAAAGGGAGGCAAGGCTGCATAAATTCCTTAGCCACACTAGGCCACAGGTTGAACCAGGCTTTTGGCAGGATTAGGAGACACTAGAAGTAGAAAACGGTAACAAACAGGTAACTGCTATTACGCTATTTGTTTGAAACCTCTGGGTTTCATTTTCCTGCTTGAGTCTCTGATTAGACAATTAAATTTCAGACTACTAGTGAGTTTTTGGACAGCCATGTTAACACATCAACACCCTGAAATGATGTGCTGCAACCTCTCACACCATAGATGCAGACTTCAGCATCAACTTGTGTTCCTTCCTGGAGAAACTATAACCCTCCATCCACCAAAACTAACTTCTAACGTATTCTGGCAACAAACAGTAAGTGTAGGAACCAAAAAGTTATGCCTTTAAGATAATACCAAGGAGTTCCACGATTTTTACAAAAGGCACAAGCAAATGCATCCACTTCAACAGATTGGTTGGCTGATTTCATTGTGCATTTTTTCTAGGTATCACAGCAATTTGCTAAGAATCAGAAGATTAAATCTGAATCCTTTTGCATTCAGATTGTCCTATTAACTATAACGGTAGATTAAAGTTTCCAGCAGTAAGGAAAGAACAACAAAAAAAGATTCCTTGATAATTAATCTCTCTTATATTCCTTTTTTTGCAGACAACCAGCAAATTCCATTTAAGGTCTTTAAACACAAATCAACTTTGAGGAATCTGAGGTTCCTCAAATGTAAGTTTTCCCCTTGTGACTTCTTGATGCAGAAACCACTTAGGAATTCCTATTTACATGGTTCAATCTGCTTCTATCATTGTTTTTTTCATCCACGTGTGTTAAATTGCAGTCAGGTAGATGTCAGAAAATTTCCAACTGCTAATAATTACACAAAGGAGCACTGTATGTTTTTCAATCAACCATTACCTTGCACGATGCTGTATGAATGTTAATTTCTTTGAAGATTTTAGATGTCTAAAAGTCTAACTTCTGCACATATGCCAATGCAGACACATGTATGCAGCGTTACAGCTGGGTGACTGACAGAACCAACCGTATTCTCGCCATTTGTATCAGGAGGGCATTGGGCAGGCAAGTTTAAGTCAGAATACAGCATCTGCAACTGCCTGAAGATAGCGGTTCTAGAAACTAACTGAAAAAATAGTCCCTCATAGAACGAGAGGCTACATGACTAAAGAACAGAAATCCACGAAGAATTCTTAGCCTTTAAAGGAAAAGCATTTACAAATTTGTATTTGATAAAGCAAACAAAACTGACAACTGAATTTCTGAGAGATGGTTCATTTTGATGAACAGCTGGGAAGAGAGAATGACACATAATATTTTAGAGACCAGGAGATATAAACCCTGAGAAAGCTTGGAAATCAATGTTGTTGCTTCAGAAGTCTCAGAAGACATTCCAAGCAGCCCAGAAAAAACAGCAATCACTTCTACCCATTTCGATGTCTATGAAACAAGCATTAGGTTTTTTTTACACAAAACTGCCATCAATACATAAGGGGAAACTGAGCAAGTAAGTGAAAATACTTTTTAGGATTATATTTTAAAACAAGAAGGTGCTCTTTTGATTTTATAATATAAGAAGATCAAGACCAAACCTGTGAAACCCACGTATCTAAACTCACATTTTAAATATCTACTTTAGCAACTGATTTCCAGCTATAGCTCCACTGATTTCAGTGGGAACTTACTGCTTCTAAAAATGTTAGACCATCTGGTAGACAGCTTATAAAAAGAGAACAACAGTATCTTGATAGAATCAGTAACAGTACTTGAATGTGAAAGTTTTAAAATTCTGCTCCACAAATGGATTTTGTAGCCTCTGCCAGGTCTGAGCTGCCCTAGCTACACTCCTACTGGTACCACTACAGCATGTCCAATGCCAAGCACGTTTACAGTACATGGAGACACCAGTATAGGAACACTGATAGAGTTTTCTCTGACAAAGATGTGCTCATACGCACTCAAATGATAACAGAAATAAACTGGTGGACAATTCCAAAGCCATAGTAACAACTCTACTTTGCAGGCCTGTTTTTGCGCTCCTCCTTAACTCCTGGTTGACAATTCAGAAGGCAACAGCTTGTGGTTAGATGCACATATGAGAGATTGATTCATATTTGCTGCCAGGGTCAACTTGTAGTCATAGCAACAGGCATAACAGGATGAAGAACAGAACAGTTCATAACAGGATCAAGAAACAGGGCTGTTTATTAGACCAAGAATGGGAAATACTGTCACAGAGCTGATTTTTACCTTAAGAAACTTTCTTCGAAGTTTCGAGAAAGCAACATAAAAAGAGAAAAGTTATGGGAATGCAAAGCCAGCTGAGCTCAAAGCCAAGTGTAAAAGGTTCAAAATATTAAAGTATAAAGTTTTAAAACTTTAAGTATAAATATTTAAAGTTTGTTAATATGTTTCAAATGTTAGTAGCAAAGAAAGTGGGACTTCTAACTCTCTCTCTCTCTTGTCATTCTGGTAGAAGTTGCCTTCACAGCTGATTCTCACCAACAGCTACTCCCCAGGAAAACTACCTTCATAACAGATTACTATATAGCAGCAAATCTGGGGGAAGAGAAGAGATTCAGCATTCCCTCAGTTTGTTTTGTAAATATAAAAAGTTGTTTAACCCATATCTAAAAGATGGCTTAATGCCCAACCATATCTTTCTAAAAAAATGAAGTTAGAATGTATATTTTTAGATAGTCTGGTAAAATATGAACGGTTTACATGAACTGAGTCATTTAAAAACCCTTTTTTTCCCCATTAACAGTCATGAGCATTAAACCAGTTGTATTTTTAGATACTGTCTATGTCTTGACATATTTCTGAAAGACTGCCTTAAAAAAAAAAGAGTATCCATCATATTCAAAACGCTGCATCAGGAATCTAGCTAATTCCAAATTATAAATATAGACCAGCATAGCTTGTCTTTTTGCATTAGCAACCACGTACATAAAATACCATAAACAAATACTTACTGTACCATGGGAAATTGTAAGAAAACCATTTTTAACTGAGCACTTCCTTTTCTGCCACACTTTTCTGATTCTGATTTAAATGGAGAAAAAAAAAAAAGTGACTCAGTTTTTAATTGTTTCAGCTTTTAGGACCTATTTTTTCCCCAGCAGAATCCAGCAATACTTACCCATCACTTTTCTTGTACAGACTACCACTTCGTTCAGTGCCATGTTCCTTGTTTCCCTGAGGCTGATGTAAACTGTAAGCTGTACTCTGACGAATCTGAGAATCCTGAAATATACAGAACAACAATTTGTAATGCATTCCACACTTTCAATCAAAATATCCCCCCTAATAATGAGTTTCAGAGCCTTTCCTTCCTGCTCTAATCCTACAACAGGCCAAACAAAGCACATTTTTCCTCCTCAATGAGAGAGAACAAGATCCATTTCTTTTTTCAGAAGGCACAAAAACATTTAAGAAATAGCCATTATCAGCACCTGCAAAAATCCTCTCACTTGCTTTTATTTAGCTTTACTATTGGCTTTGATCGATTTTTTTTTTAACCCCCAAATTAATTGAGCAGTGGGCCTTCCAACTCATGCAAACACTGCAGTGCACAAACACTAAAGATTATTATTACCTGCAATTCCTCATGCACCCTTCCATTGTAAAAAAATATTACATAAATAAACTTGAAGAAGTGGTTTTCCTTGTGGAAACTGAGTCAAGTTATTACCTGAAAAGCAGAAGAGACCTCCTGGAAACATAGTTCAGGAGGTATACAGGAAAACTGAGAAGTTATTTTCATAACAAGAATAATTGAAACCAAAGTATCTCGAACAAAGTAGAATTCTGGGACAGAAAGTGACAAGGATTAACTAAGCCTTTCTCACTGCTCTCAGAACTACCCAGATGCAGGACCCACTGTTGCAAGAGTCCAACTTCTTAAAAAATAAGAACCTGATAACGAGGAATCTGATGTGTCCAACTGTATCATCAGCAACAACATGATGGGATGGACTTTTCGATGCATACAATGCATACAGTAACAATGACTAGTACTTAAACAATTTATTGTTTTCTCTTCTACGATCTTTGCTCTATGGACATAATACACCTCTGTTGTATATGGCAGATAATACAAGTACAGCAAAGAAAAAAACCCACAAAGGAAGTAGCTCGCTCAAATGACTATCATCTGAGCTATTCTAAACAAAAACCTAAGAAGAAAAAAAATCTCTTTTGCTAAGAAGATGAGATAGTGTGTCTCATATATACTAGCAGTACAATCACAGATACATCATTTTGGGTTTTCAGAGTGTACACATGATAAAATACAGTGATCTAAAAATATGAATCAAGAAGACAGTTTCTCTCTAATTACAATTAGCTTCGTACACTTTATTAAGACATCTCTGGATATAAGCAGGGGGAAAAGACCAACCAAAACAAAGAACACACTTGGACTGAGCTTTTCCCCAGGGAATGCCAGCTCAGATGGAGTGCTGCTGCTTTACAAGCTCCAGCAGCACAGTCTGCTACCAAAGCTGTTCAGGTTCCTCCTCAATAGTAGTGGCAACACATGACAGGTCCAAAATATGATGGCAGGGACAGAGCTACCACCTACACCCCTGTTCAGTGCACTTAGGACTCCACACCTCCAGGCTGTAGGATTTTTGGCTCATCCTGAATACAGTGCTGGAGCTCAGTGGTCCTGAGAACCACGAGCCGAGCTCAAGGCAGGCTGCAGCACTCTCCAGTGCTCCTTTTCAGCAGAACCAGCCTGCGCCCGCTTCCCTGACTCTCAGGTAGTAATCTAGGAAGCCGTATCAGGTAGCTACAACATTCACCTGCAGCTTTTAAAGGTACTACAAGACCACCACTTCAATGTCTGTGCCTGACAAAGCATCCCTTCAGATTTAAACCAGTCTGTTTATCATTCTTCTCCAGCCTGTTTACACAGAATTATTTCATTTTGCACTCTGGCAGCTCAACATGAAAACAGAACATTTAAAAAGAATTCTCATCACTGATTAAGAACCACTGCATGCATAGATTTACTGACTTCTGAAGAAAATCTGATCTGACACTGCTTATTGTGTCCTACCAATGCCTTGATCTCTGCCTCCCATTAGTCAGTAAAGGAAATTCATTCCCAAGAAGATTAGAGGCCTTACAGGAAATTAATTTCAGTTCTCTACATCCTCAATTACACAAAAATTTCAGATGACCTTCAGCACCTGCCCATAGCACCATTCCCATTACTTGAGACTGTGCTGCTACTTTTTGAGCATTATTTTCTGCCGCATTTCAGCTACCTCCTTCAGCTGTTGTTTATGCTCAGCTGCTGTGTTTGGCCAAACCGGCAAAGCAATAATACAAGCTTCCTGCCTTATTTCAACCAGAGAGGAAGCTGCTGTAGCTGACGTGTATTTCCACACATTCATTACTATGAACAGTGTCTTTAAAACATTTAATACTATTTCATGAAAAGAACTTAAGGACAAGACAAGGAGATTTGCAATTTTAAAACCTTGGTTCAGGCCATGTCCAAATCAATAGCGTTCAACGTGATTGCCAGATGATGGTTTTCCACAGACCTCTGACAAGGAAGTTCATGATTTTGATCTAGCTCCTAACAGACGGGGTGCCATACCACAAACCACCAGCATAATGAACATACTTCCAGGCAATTTCAGCACGCCTTTTCCATGTGCAGGCTCCCCAAAGGATCTTCCCTTATTTCTAGTTTGCATATTGCACATAACAGGAGTACAAATCACAGATAACAGGGTCAGACCCCATGGCCTCATCAGAAAAGCAGGAACAATGTACGTTACCTATGGGAGGAAACGGATCACCACAGGATATAATAGGACGTACCTAGCACAAAGTATTGTCATTTTAAATATCTCTTGAAGATAACGAGATCAGAACAGACTGAAGTACACAAGCCTAAGAAACTAAACTTTGTCCGTTTTATCAGCTTTGAAATGCAGATAGGCATACAAAAAAAAAAACAACAAACCTAGTCATTTCACTGCAGCACGTTTATCATGAATCACTTCACTGACCATAAAGAGATTTGAAATTATTTCTTCCGAAGTCTCATAAAGACCATCTGACATCTAAATCAAGCTGAATAGCATAGCTAAAAATTAAAGAAATATGAAAATGGTATTCTGTAGAGATGGTCTGTGACTACTGAGAAGAGAGATTCTAAAAACCTACTTATCAATCCCACTATTTGAACACAACAGAACTTTCCATACAAGGTGCTTTAACTTATGCACAGCAAATTTTGCCTAGCCATTCCACAGCTCCCATGGAGCAGGATTTTAGACTGTCTGGATCACTCCTGTGTGAAAAGCTGCCAAAAAGCCCTTACAGCTCTCCAAGATCCTGAGCTTCCTTTCCTTTGCAGGATCATTGCCAAGAGGATGTTTCAGAGATCCATCCCTTATCTATTACAGCCCCACAGAGCCTCCAACAAATTTATCTGCCAGAACCCCCTGCAGGCAGCCTCTCCTACAGCACAGCTACCGTAATTTTTGTCAAGAAAAATAAAATTTATCCTATTTGGCAGTGGCCTAAATAGATTAGAAGTTCTACCAAACATGTAGAAGAAGCAGAAGCAAATCTAAACACTACAGTAAGGCTAACTTCAGAAAGGACATGGGAAAAAGTTGAAAAATTAAAAATTACGGAGGTGTACACGCAATGATGTTTTAAAAAGAAGTTTCAATATAAACCAGGTTTGAGGAAGTTCTACGCAGGAGGAAACTATGTATGCAGGCACAACAAAAGCAGCTCACGATGAGTGTTTGTGTCTTTTTTTTTTTTTAAACACAATAACAGTATTTGTCAACGTTCTACTATTTCATACATGAAGTCTATTTTAATTAAAAGTACATATAGCTTCAAAATCTTGCAAAAACATCAATCAAGCAACTGGATTTAATTCCCAAAAGAGAGTGAAAAGGAAATCACCAATTTGTCTTACAGTAATTTTCTTTCCCAAGAACAATCTGATAATGGTTTTGGGTTTTTTTGTAATACAACAAACAGAAGAGGAGAAAAAAGAACCAGTCTTTTCATACCAACAGAAAAAAGCTCAGAGGAAAAATCCAGTTTCTTGAAATCTGAATGGAAATCATGCCAACTATTTTCATTAAAACATAGTAACACTTACTCTCCTAGACTTCGGTCACAAAATGTAAATGCATTTCAGGAAGGAAAAAGAAATCAGTTATAGTAAAGGAAATTGCAGTGCAACAAGAATAATATTACTGGGTCGTGCAGTAAATTGTACCAGGATCGTTTGGCATCCCACTGGTTAATTGATATTTTCAAAAAAATTTATAAAAAATTATAGTACTTCTCATATGCTCTGCAGGTAAGCATCTATATCTAAATTTGCAAAATTAATGAACAATGAATATTGTATTTATAAATGCAACAAAAACAGTACAAGTAATAAATTAATGTGTATTATTACATTTTTCAGTCTGTGAAAAGACGTGTGCTCACCACATCTTCCATATCCATTTACTATCAGTATCACTGATAAACAGGTAAACATAAAGAAGCAACGTTCCCAGCAACCACGAAACCCAACTGCTTCTATTATCTCTCTTGAACAAAGATCAGAACAAAATAGGAAGCCTGCTAACACACCCTAAAGAGCAAAGACTTCTTATTGAGAGTGGGCAATCAATGGTGAATCCAAAGTAGTCACCATTTCCGCTAGGATCACTAGTCTTTCGTTCCACAGAGCTCAAATTTGGACGTTTTTAGCAAATGCACCCCTCAGCGAGTCCTAAATGCCAGACAAAACCTAAGACGGTGCCTGCAAACTTTATAGGACTTCATAAGCAATGGGTATTATCACAAACTTCACGTGGCAACAAACAGCACCTCAAAGCGAAGAGCATTTAAGACTGAACGCCTGTCAGCAAGTCATAGAACAACAGAATGGTTTGGGTTGGAAGGGACCTTTAAAGATCATCTAGTCCAACCCCCGGGCCATGGGCAGGGACATCTTACTCTAGATTAGGTTGCTCAACAACCATCATCTGGGCACTGGTAAGAGCTAGGAGTCACCATAACTGTTATGGGAAGATGAAAGCAAGACCGGAAAAGATCAAGGAAGTCTGAACTCTACAGACTAAACTATTGCATTGTGATCCCTCTCTGAAAGAGAATCTGAAAAGGGAGGAGGGGGTTCATTCATCACTTACTCATGGCCCAGCAACAACACAAAGGAAGCTGGCTGGCATTTATTTATATGAAGAGGAAGCACTAGCAATCTGAACCAAAAGTAGGCCCAATATTTAGGATTAGATTACACAAAAGATGCTTGCTTCCAGATCAGAATTTGCCAAATAAAACTACTCTAGAATTCTTTAAATCTAACAACAATAATAACCGAAACTCAAAAAAATACTTATTTGTTAGATTGCTGAAGTGACCCAGCTCTTGCACGTTTGAAAACTGGCATCTTGCAGCAGAGTAGCAAACTTAATTGTCAGTTTTGCAGATGATGACAAGAAGTGTTTTGGGATTTAAAGTTCAGTTTTACATAATCTTTATACAGTTTGGAATATTGTTGTGAGATAAGATTGTGCTAATGGGGTCTCCTTGATACTGCCAAAGTTCCTCCGTTCTCAGTTTGAGCAAAATAGACACCATTGTTAGTTCACAGACAGTGCACCATCTTAAGTGTTTTGCAATATCGGTAACAAAAATAAATGATTTTGCAACAAGTCTCATATATTTTTAGTGGGAATTCATTTAAAAAAAACAACCCACCTTTGTCAGAAACATTCACTATCAGCATCAAACCAAAGATGAATAAACAAAAGAAATCAGATGGCTGATAAAAGTTAAATAATTCTATTTCAAATACTAACATTACATTAGAAGTAATTAAAATGGGTATTCCAAAGTTGAACCATCTTAAATGCTCACCTCTTTCTGATCAACCTGGAGTGCTGATTTTAAAATATCTCTAAGCTGTGTTAATTGTCGTCTTTCCTCATCTTGTGCTTGTTTAATCTTGAATGAAGAAGAACACAGGTTAAAAATAACATGATTGTTTCTTTTCAACACAGTTCTTCCAAACTTGCTACTTAATTGGTTCATTTTTCTGAGAAATGTTCAGCAAGAATAAAAACACAAAGAGAAAAGATAATGTGATCAGTTTATTTTCCTTTTTATCTTCAGAAAACTTGATAATGGCTAGGATGTTGCTGGGTTAAGACTTTGATATTGCCTCACACTGTTCTTGCTTCCTTGTGTTCAATTTGAAACCATATGTTATTTTCCACTTAGTCAGTAAACATTTTAGAGCAAAGGGTGATTTCCTAACATTTTACACAGTGGGATCCTGAACTGAAACTAAGGCTTCTGGATATGATATTAAAACAAAATTTTACTCAAAAATCTACATGAAACCTTAAAATGCTATTAAAGCAGTCAGCCAACCTGAACCAAAATGTTCAGTTTTACAGTTCTACTGTAAAAAACTAAGTTTACAACACAAATGTGAACAGTTGTTACTCACTGTATAAAGATCTGTCGAGAGTGTCTCAATTGAAGGCTTGAGACTTTCAACTGCTTTTAACCCATCCTGAAAGAAACTTAAAAAGAAAAACAAAAAGCAAATTGTTATTAAACTTTACTTTGTATTTTCTGTTTAAAAAGTTGCCAAAGGAAGATGTGCATATTATTATGCCATAAACTTCAAAACATTAAACATTTTTTTATGCATCTTTGACTGATCCACCTCTTTATTTCCATCATAGCTTATTCTAACATGCAAAATCCCCAATTAGATTCAGAACTGCCACAATCCACTGCCACATGTTTCCCTCATTCTCACCTCCAATACAGGTTCTCATCCCACTTTCTGGAGGCCCAGAACAAGCAAGATTCATTTGTAGAACAGCAAAAGCTCTAATAGATATAAAATAATTGTGACTTCTTGGAGCTCAATAATTTCATGTCTGATGCAATCTTCCTACTAAAGGAAAACCCCTTTGTTTCCCAAGCATTAATTATAGCCTACATGCAAACTGAATATGACACATCTTACTGTATCATATGTATTTTTGTATTTGCTCTTAAAAAGAAAAGTGAGATTTAAAAAATAAATTTAAAGAAACCACAACTACACACACATTTGATTAAAAATTGCTGCACCATTTGCAACAGAAAATATTTTCACTCTGGGAAGCAGACATGAAAGTGACAACACAGCACAGCATTTATGAAACTGATTTTAAAAGCAATATAGCTATAAAGGGAAAAATCCTACATAGATGCAGACTAGTCTTTTAAGATGAAAACTTATTGATTTCAACAGGTTAACAGCGGCTCTTTCAAGTTTATAGCTATGACTTTATTGCTATACTATTGATCTGTACGACTACCATAAAAAAGTGCATCATTCTAACGACAGCTTTGTGTTTTATTACTGAGTCCTCCAACTAATTAGAAAAAGAGTGATTCTTTCAATGCCATTTTATCCTACTACTTATGCAATTTCTTTTTCTTGAGCACAGAATTAATTTAGATCATTGCTAGATACACTCAAAAAAGCCCGTCAAAACTAATGGACCACTAATAGACCAAACTAATAACTCTGTTTAAACAGTAGTTTATGAAATATGCCAAATTACTGTGCAGCATTCCTTTGGAACAGACAATTATATTCTATGGGACTAGCTCAACCTCATTACATGTTTCAGAATACAGTAACAAAAGCAATGACTAATCTATGAGAGAAGCAACTTGTCAAAAGACATCAGCGAGAACAGTTGCATCTTAGATTTATTTTGAAAAATCTATAAAAGTGTTATGATGATGTCAAAAGTTTAAAACAAAACATGGCTCCAGTTATTGTGTAAATATAAACAAAACTAAAACATACTTGCACTGAGCATGAAAATACTTGATCAAGTTCTGAAGCAAGTCCACTCCTTTTTTAATCTTGATTTCATTGACTTTCAACAGGTACTGTTGAAACAATAATTCACAAAAGAAATAAATTATTACTGCTACAGTGTATATTTAACATTTTGTTTTCAGTTATATTTCAACAAGCTTTAACAGTTGCAGATTTAGAAGACCTAAAAGCGAATGCGTCAAACAGTGACTTCAAGGGTTAATCAAACAAAAGCAATTGTTGTAACCACTGATTTTTGATACACTGCTGGGATACTTCACTGTGATTAGTTCAAATTGTCAAAACATCCTTCCTGGCTCCTAATGGAAGACTGCGTTCAAGGAGGCATAAACAGGTTTGTGTAGTAAATTTAGGAACCCATTCTTAAACTAGCAGCCCGTCTAGGTATCTGTCTCACTAGTTGTTAAATTCATTGCTAAATAGATGTCATTAAGGAAGAAAGCAGTTTACTAAAAAAAGTGAGGGATTATTTTAACCAGTTTTTAAACCTGCCTTCTGATTTTATAATTTTTTCTATCAATTCCTTATACACAGTAATTACAGCAAATTACAGTTTAGCAGAGATTTTTAAAATCTACTGTCAAGCTAAAAAAAGTCTAATCAGTGTCCTTTTCCATTAGGCACAATCAAAGTCCATATTAAGTGACAGCTCCTCCCCTGAATGCCATAGCACGAAAGATTATCAGCCATGCAAGCAGAAGTAAGATTGACCAAATATTTACAGTAGTCTTTAACTCTCCATTAAATGGTGACAATTTTTAACCTCTGCTTAGACAGTGACCTCCAAGCAAAGGAGTGAATGTCTTCTTAGCAATGCTCTAATGCATCTGGTTTTCCCTTATCTACAGTACACCCTAAATGTTTTAAACCCACTAAAATAAAGCGGTATCCAAATGTCAACTTTCCACGCTTTCAATGTTGCAGCTTTTTAAGCTGGTTCAGGTGAACAGATGATCAGCCTAAATGTAGACATGCGCACTGGATAGTATTTAGTTAGAAGAGTCACCTCGCTAGCTCCTGTTAATTTAAAATGGAGCTCTAGGCATCTGGTATTCAGTTCACTTTCACAATGTATAGAGAACTAGCCTGTACTTATGATACAACTTCAGTGTGTTCACACTTCTGATTTACTAACAAAGTCAAAACAAAGTCCCCTTTTATGGCTATTCAGAGGCAACTGAGTATAAACTTCTTTTCCCCAAAATCTGAAGAAATACAGGATACACTTCGGCTATTGCACATTTAAGGTAACTGGATTCAATTTCACAGACTTCACCCTGCATTTTATTATCACTACAACTGACTACAGTGAACTCCTCCTTTACTGTGACACAGGAAGAGAGAAGCATCTGTTCCTGGTTGTTTCTTAGGAAGGATACAGATGGGCAATTAGCTAGCAACATCCATATGTTTATTTGGTACTCAAATCCCTTAATGAGTTTCGAATATTTTAGTCTGACTCTGTATAGGAATGTGAAGTTTTTCTACTAAGTATCAGTGCATGCATTTACTAAAAGTAGTATTCAGGACAACTGCTGTTAAGCTATGTTGGCATATGAGTCAAATTAGCTCTAATCATCATAATAAAACCAGAAGAAACACTTATGGTATATTTTTGAGTTAACGCATAGAAGAACACACACAGGAACTTAAATTCCCAACCATGGAACCTGACATGCCCTTTAACGAATTGAACCAAAAATACTCACATCAGATTTAACACACTGCAAAATCACAAAGATTTCAAAGTAGAAACGTTCTGAAATGTCTTGAAAGACAACTGGATTCCATCCTTAGCACTTTTTTTTTCAGCACCAGCCCAACAGTGTGCTAGACTGGAGTCTTTCCTCATAACAACACAACAGCTGTCAGTGTAGTGAACAATTCAGAGAATGACCTAGGGCTTAAAATAACTTATACTGAAGTAGTAATGGCTTATATATTACCATCTCTTGGTGTTTAATTGAACTTTACATTACTTATTTATTCTACACTTTTCTTGTTAAGTGAAATTAGAAAATATCTAAATTCCCTGCAAAATAAAAAAAAAAAGATAAAAAAGTGGTTTAGCAAATAGAGTCCACTAATAACTTGGTATTTCCCTTCAACATCACAGTTGCCATTAAACAACTGTGGTTTTCAAAATTTTCCTAAAAATATTAGCAGAACAATATGCATTTCATGTTGAATCTTACCTCACACATCTGTAACTGGAAGAACCGTCTCTCCTTCTCCATCTCTTCTGCAATTTCAGCTCCACTTATTTCTGTACGGATCATCCCATGCAGCTTAGCATGCTCTTTTTTCTCCTTCTCTATTTTTGTACTATAAGGCAAAGAATCAGTCGATGAAGTGAGAAATCCACAGCCTCTCAGGAAATCTGATTATTCAGAAAGTCTACTGACAGATGCAGAACCAAACTCTTGTAGTGCTGCATATGACTTGCTTCCAGATGACATTTCATTTGAAATTTGACAACGACTAAAGATCAGCAATGACATACAGTAGCTGAAATCTAGTTCAATCATTTGTTAAAATAATGTCCTGACAGAGATTCCAAAAGAAGATACTAAAAGAGAGGAAGAGACTAAGTTCTTGCATTAAAGAAAAAAAATCCAGAAACAAAATAATTAATTTTAATTGAAAATGAGGGGGGATGTTTAATCCCAACTGACCAAACACTAGTTAACAGAGTTCAATTGTGTCACCAGATTTATTGAGTCTTGCCTGTCATCAAGTCATCTTCTATATATACAGGGTTTCCCAAGCCAAAATCACAGTTGCCATCTCTACTTGTGACTGAGCCAGTTGGCACTGGGAATGCTGGTCAGCCGGCTGTGTTGCAGACTTCAAAGTCTGCTAGACCAGCTGTCCCAATTCCCTAAAAGTTTCCATGAACATTTTCCAAGAGCTCTGAAAAAAACAGGTTCTCCTGTAGAATATAAATGAATAACCAATGCCTGCCATACGGTATAATTCCCCTAAACACACTTGTGTATTTGTTACAGCTATTCTCCATATTATTCCTAAAGGCAGTAGCATAATTATACTACCCAGTTAGACAAGCCTGATATAAAAAAAAGATATTAATAAAAGAAAACACATGAGGGCGTTTACTTTTTAGAGAAAGACTTTTAGTCTGCCAATTGTACCATTTAGAAGCTGGAAATTCTGCAAAGAGCTTCCTTTTGAACAAGAGGAATCATTACACAGGGATACAGGAAGCAGATGAGAGGAACAAACAACACATGCACTGTCATACCTCCTCTTGGGCAGTCAAGTGTCTCTCAGCTCTCTCTCTGAAAAGATGACATGTCTCAAGTGCTCTCTTAACCTGATGTTAACATTACCCTAACAGCTTATAGGAAAACGTCCTAGAAGGTCTAAGGACTTCCAGTCAACAATATATTCTGTACTTATGCTTCTCAACAATGAGGAACTGCCTTCTCTTACACCTCAAGCAGCAAGGGAAAATGAGAATTAATCCCATTAATCCCATCCTGTAACATTCCCAGAGGGAAATATTTTGAACAGCAATTCAAAAAGCCCCACTGCGCTCTTGGTACTGGCAGGCACAGCAGAGCCAGCGCTGTGCAGTATTCCAGCAGCCAGCACTGCGCTCCTTCTCAGCCCGTGGAGTCCTGCCAGCAGCAGACGTTCAGAGGGAAGCTCCTCTCCTTTGAAATAGTTATTCTGAAAACCTTCACTCACCTGAATAAAAATTTGCTTCCAGAACATTGTTTTCATAAAAAGTAAGCCTGTGCTCTTACCCACTTACTGCCTATTATGCCTTTTTATTGCCACAGAATACAGAGTCCAAACACAAGAAATAAACAGACATCAACCGTGAACAAGGAAGATAAACCATTACAAAAAGATACACAGAAAATGACAAATACATAGCTCCTTTCTGGCACACACTCTATGAGAGTTTACATTACATCATACTTGATAGTTCTAAAAAAGTCAAACCTCACAGCAAAGATTATGGATGGTTTTAGTTCTCTCAATTTCCACATTAACAATTAATAAGGCGAGAGAATTCACTGAAATGTGAATCAAGTGGAATAACTATCAATTGCTATTGTATTTGCATTATTTACAGAGAACAATACTCGAACATAGGATGACATAACCACCTCTAAAATTTTATGAGCATATTAATGTGTTATAAGGTGTCTCTAAATGCCAGTTAAACCAAGACAACTAATACTGTCAAAGAGTTAAACATTATGCACAATACTACAGTATACATTGGTTTAAGAAACTGAATTCCTTTTAAAGAGCTAGAGTCACATCTACTCTTTAAACGATAAATCATACTCTAAGGCAACAAGTAGTTAAACCAAGACTAAAGCATACCGACAAGTATACTACCAAGTAATTCAGAGAAATAAGACATCCTTGAAGCCATTTGCTGGAGCTTTAGGCTCCATGGCTTTAAAAACTTCAGAGATTCTTTACAAAAAAAACAAACTATCTCTTGGTGACAAGTACCAGAGATACAGGATGGTGCATTTCACATTTGCATTTCCTTATTATTATGCTTTTAGTCTCTAACTACACTTTCAGCGTCATAATCCAGAAATCAACCTGTTGTTTTGCTATAGTAATAGGCTACCTCCTATCTGACTGATACTACAGGCACCTTATTTCTAGGGAAACAAGGAAACCACGTAAAGCAGTGTTGCATACAAATCTTCCGAGTGCTAAAGGCTGGCTGTGTTTCCTATCCAAATGCAAGGGTCAACTCAGCTTCAAGTGTCACTCTTTTGTGACATTAACCAAATCCTTTGGGCAAAGACAGTTCTGCAATGTACCACTGAGATTTCCAAATATTGTAGGGTATTCAGGTATTCCAGGCAGATCAATTAAGCAAAATTAATACGAAAATTGGGAAACTCTAGAAAAATCCTCTAGCAGCAATAAGAAGGAAGCAAATGTTTTGTAAAGCTGCTGTTCTTGAAGTTCATGCAGCACCTTTCACATATATAGATTTTGCTGACTAAGATTAAAATCTGAGCAGACGTCCATTTACAAAGCAGCTGCACATGACTAATATGCAGTGAGCTCAGATTTGTGTAATAGACAAGTAAAACTGAAATACAAGATGAAGAACTACAGCAGAAAAGTCAATCAGATACAAAATAAATGGTCTTGTCTGTTCAGTTTCCACTATATGACTATTTCTACAGCTCCAATTCGAAAAGCAATTTTAATTTGTATTTGAAAGAAATCAAAATCAATTTTGCCATACAGACCATGGTATAAATACACATCAAAGTAGGCACTTCAATTTTTTTTAAATTTTAGAAAGGACAGGACCTATTTTACATGTTTAACATGCCAAATATTGGTATTGATTTTCAGCCAGTGAACAAGGGTAAAAAAACTAGAATACCCTGTGTTCATGCAGTAGTGAACTGGCTGGGTAGCAACTCTTGTCCTCCTATCCTTCCCCATAGAGCAGTAAGCCAGGCTGAGTCTGGATATGTACATAAGAAGGTGCAGAGACTGGGAATAGCACCTGGAAGGCACAGACCTGAAAGGGGAGCACTCTGGAAAATGGAGTGCTTCCAAGGGTTATTTTGTTTGACAAAATAATATTACACATTCCTTGGCGAGGAGGGTGCGCAGCAAGCTCACTATCCTGGACTTCAGGAAAGCAGACTTTGGCCTCTTCAGAGATCTGCTTGGTAGAATACCATGGGACAAAGCCCTGGAAGGAAGAGGGGCCCAAGACAGCTGGCTAATATTCAAGGGTCACCTCCTCCAAGCTCAGGAGCGATGCACCCCAACAAAGAGGAAGTCAAGCAAAAACACCAAGAGGCCCCCGTGGATGAACAAGGACAGTGGGATCGAGTGCACCCTCAGCAAGTTTGCCGATGACACCAAGCTGTGTGGTGGGGTCGATGTGCTGGAGGGAGATGATGCCATCCAGAGGGACCTTGAAAGGCTGGAGAGACGGGCCCGTGCGAACCGCATGAACTTCAACAAGGCCATGTCAACAAGGCCAACACTGTCCATGTCACCGACAAAGATGTTGAACAGTGCCGGTCCCAGTACCGACCCCTGAGAAACACCACTCACCGTTCTCCACTTGGACATTGAGCCATTGACAGCACCCCTTTGAGTGCGACCATCCAGCCAATTCCTTATCCACCGAGTGGTCCACCCATCGACTCCGTGTCTCTCCAATTTAGAGACAAGGATGTCATGCAGGACAGTGTCAAATGCCTTGCGCAAGTCCAGGTAGATGATGTCCTTTCCTATCTGAAAGGAGGTTGTAGGCAGGTGGGTGTTGGTCTCTTCTCCCAAGTAACAAGTGAGAGGACAAAAGGAAATGGCCTCACGTGGCACCAGGGGAGGTTTAGATTAGATATTAGGAAAAACTTCTTCATTGAAAGGGTTGTCAATCACTGAACAGGCTGCCCAGGGAAGTGGTTGAGTCATCATCCCTGGAGGTATTTAAAAGATGTGTAGATGTGGTGCTTAGGGACATGGTTTAGTGGTGGACTTGGCAGTGTCAGGTTAATGGTTGGACTTGATGATCTTAAAGGACTTTTTCCAACCTAAATGATTCTATTATTCTATTCTATGACTCTATATTAAAGTTTCCTTGTTTAGCACTTTCATTCTATGCCACTGTTTTCAAGATGTGACCTCCACTTCGTCTTATGGACACACTTTAAAAGGAAATGTGGCAGAAATATCTACGATTTATGAATATCAATGATCTACTGAGTCAAGTTAGAGCTCTGGAGAAGTAATTTGAGAAAAGTTTGCTGAATTTTCAGGTAAATTTTTTAGATATTGTTTAAAAAATGCATTTACCAAACTGGAAACATCATCACTTAATCAAATAGCTATGCACACAGACATCTTTACAGGAGACTGTAATACAAATTTGTTCATTCTTCCATTGACTTCAAATGGTTCAGGAACAAATCATTAACGATAGTTACCCTAGATATGAGTGCCTGCATTTCTGTACAGTAACATGATGCACCTCAACCTACTGCCTTGATCTTCTAATGCCATAAGCCCATTCAAATAACTTGTTCTCTTCACTTAGCTGTGCATAACAGACCTCATGCCTGGCTTTTAAAAGGAGAATGGCAAAGTAGGAGAAGGAGTCAGTCTTCCCAGGAAAAGTTAGTTAGTTTTCATTAAGCATTTGTGTTTCATAGCATAAGCACAGCACTTATTAGCAGAGGACTTCTGAAAATAATATATATTTACAGGCTGAAAAAATAAGACACCTTTATTTAAAAAATGAACATTTCTTTCTTTTCAGAAAGACAGATTTATGTCTGGAATACAGA